CACAGGTTTAAGAACATAAGAGTTTTCTGGATCAAGCCAATGGCCCATCTAGGCCAGCATTCTTTTCTCCCCCATGGCCAACCCATAAGCGCAACCTGAGCACAAGAACACCCTCCCCTCCTGTGGTTTCTAGCAACTGATTACTGCTTCCAACCATGGAGACAGAGCTAGTAGCCACTGGTAATCCTATCCTTCATGGATTTTTCCAGTCTCCCTTTAAAGCTATCCAAGTTGGTGCTCATCACTACCTCCTGTGGTAGCGAGTTCCATAGTTTAACTATGCACTGCATGAATCTTCCAATATTCAGTTTCACTGGATGTTCATGAGTTCTGGTATTATGAGAAGTGGAGAAAAAAACACTTCTCTATCCACTTTCTCCATGCCATGCCTATTTTTATAAACTTCCATCATGTCACCTCTTACTCACCTTTTCTCTGAACTAAAAGTCTCAAATGCTGTAACCTTTCCTCATAGGGGAGTTCTCCATCCCCTTGATCATATTGGTTGCCCATTGCTGAACTTTCTCCAACTCTATAATATCCTTTTTTGGTGAGGAGACCACTACTGTACACAAAATTCCAAATGGGATTGCATCATAGATATGTATAATGACCTTAGGATATTAGCAGTTTAATTCTGAATTCTCTTCCTAATGATCCCTGGCATGGAGTTTCCCTTTTTCACAGTTGCCACACCTTGGGTCAACCTCTTCATCAAGCTATCCACTTGGATGCCAAAGTCTCATTCCTGGTCAGTCACCACCAGTTCAGATCCCATGGGCATATATGTGGAATTAATATTTATTTTGTGCTGCCATGCATCACTTTACACTTGTTTACATTGAATTGCATTTGTCATTTTGCCTCCTATTCGCTCAGTTTGGAAAGGTCTTTTGGGAGCTCTTCATAATCTCTTTTTGTTTGAACGACCCTGAATAATTTTTTAGCATCAGGTCTGCTCACTCTTAACTCTAGATCATTTATGCACAAGTTAAAAAGTGCATGCCCCAGTACAGATCCTCGGAGAACATCTTCTACATCTTTCTGTTCAGAGAACTATCCATTTATTATTCTCTGTTCCCTACAACTTAACCAATTTCTAATCTGCATAAGGACCTCTCCTCTTATTACATATTACTTAGGAGTCAGAAAGTTTTTTGAAACTCCATCACTATACTACATCAACCAGATCACCTCAATCTATGTGCTTGCTGGCATATGCTGCCTTGTGCATCTTTTGGCTACATAAGGATCCACACTCAACTTTGAACTTTGGAAATAGAATGAATGTTGATAAAATGTTCCTATTCTGTTGGCTCTTCTCATCTAGAATTTATCTAGGGTTTGGTTTTTGTCCTTACTTGCATGGTTGATATAAAGGACATTGCCAAAGGGCCTGTTCCATATTAAAATTGGGCAGCTGACTCCTGATGCCATGGTTAAAGAAAAGGGAAATGATAGCCCTTGAGGGATCAGAACCAAGGTTCAGCTCTTAACAAGTATATGACACAAAAATCTGACTCAGCATTAGAATTTAAGACATAAGGCAGGTGTTTTTGCAGCTGCTTTACCTGTGCAGGCAACTTCTTGTTTAAGTGGTATTGAATGCACAGCTAAACGTAGAAGTCCCATAGGTTAGTAATTCTTTTTCTGTGACTTCACACTGAGCGCCCTCTTCCTAAGATACACCGCTCACACAAATAAGGTGGCTACGATAGTGTCAGCACTGACTGTTAGATACATAATCAGATCTCCAGACATAATCATGATTAGGGCCTCTACAAGTGTAGCATCATAATTAGACCTAGAGAGTCAAGACACTGATGGTCAACTGGCTCCAGGAAGACTTAGCGTTTCTGGACTTACAGCATCTAGAGTTTAAGAATCAAAATTCACAATAGTTACAAAGGCTATAGAAAAAAGTCTGAAAGCAACAAGAGGAAGCAGAACTGAAACAGGGAACAAGATACCTTTTAGCCCAAAACCCTGTTGGATATATGTATGCCTGATGAGAAACTACCCTCCCATCAAACCTTAGGTCCTGGGGTAATCAATAAAATAAGGTACAAAAGTATATACCACTTTCCAATAACTGACTTCTAGAAAAAGCAAGTCCTGGATCAGGCTGGGACCTAGAATGGGATGGTGGGTTTCCATTTGTTTTTATTCTGGATTGAAGCTTGTCACATCCACACCATACATTAAAAGCACATGTCCCCCCCCCCCATAAAAACCTAGGAGTTATAGTTTACACCCTACAGAGTTACAATTCCTAGCACTCTAATAAACTGCAGTTCCCAGGATTTGGGAGGGTCGTGTAATTTAAATGTATGGTGTGAATATGATCCACAGTGAGATTCTAACTAGAGAACTGAAATTATATATTTGCAGCAGCAGTGGTCGGTGCTGAAGGTTAGGTGACCATGGTGTTTATCTCCAACCAGGAGAAAATGCAATAACCTACAAATTAATTGGTGGAAATTACTATGCTTGACAAATGGGTCTCCTGAGATCAGTGCTTGAATTTCAGCCTTAACAATATCAGATATGTTTGTGTTTGTAAACATTTCAGGAAATGGCATTCTCATTGACTTTTCTCCTGTACACTTGAACTGATGTCTGTCATATTGTGTTCTGTCAGATACAAGGATATTGGTCAGCATGAACCTCAAGTGAAGGTATTTTCACTTAGAAGTCCAACTTTAACACTCTCATCAGCAGATGCATAATGTGCAGCCTTTCAGTATATTATACTACTGTATTTATTAGTGCTAAGAAATCCTTAACAATTTTTACAAATTCATTCTGTTCACTATAAAAGATGGCTGGTACAGTTTTGAGATATTACTTTTATCTATTCATGCCTCATTGGGAGGACACAATTTTGTACTGCTTGTATAATACAGAATATATGAATATATGATAGATGGAAAGGTTTGTTCTCCCTTTCTTGACATGAATGTAATGAGCTTAATATTACAAATAAAATAGCAAATATCACAATGCCTTTATAGAGATCTGGGGTGCATCCCCATTTAGGATACTATATACCATTTGCAACTGTTGTCTCATCTCAAAAAAGATGTGAAGAAATGGAAGATGCACAAAAGGATTTGAAGAGGTGGTAATGGTATGAATGTTTTGTTTTTTAAAGGATCAGACAAATTAATGGAGGATAAATTTAACAATGGCAATTAGCAATGATAATTTCAGAGGCAATATACTTTTTACTACCAGATGCTTGAGGCAAACGGCAGGAATGGCTACAACCACCATGCCTTGCTTGTGAATTTCCCAGAGACTTCTGACTGGCATATATTCTGAATTTCAGTATTGTTCTAGTTATGCATGGTATTGCTAAAGTGTATTACATCATCCTGTTTAATTTTAGAAACTAGAAGAAAATACTTAAATTCAGAATACACACACACACAATAAATGCTATGAAGTTCTGAAAAATAAAGTTAAATAAAATATTAGCAATAATGGTCAAATGACATACATATCAGAAAGAGAAAAAGATATGAAAAAATGTGTTATAACAATATTTTAATAATCTTAAAACTTTTGCTGAAATCATAAGCTGCTAGAATCAGAATCCAAGAAACAGATACCTATCACTAATTGAGGTAATTTTTTCAAGGTTCAGCACATCCCCTCCCCTTTTCAAAAAAGCAGAAATAATTTACTTGTATGGTGTATGCTTTAAGCATAAGTGCAATGTCTGTTTAAAATAGTACACAATGCAAACATGTGAAATAGTCTTTGAGTTTTCCTTATAGAATGAACAGCCTATAAGAGTTCCAGAATGTAGTCAGCAGTAACACAAGAGCCAATGCCCTTGCATGGCATATGCTATAATGCAGTTGAGGGAAAATGGATTTGGAATAGTGCTTTTGCAAGTGTGGCTGAAACATGGATCATATCAGCCCCAAACCAGATGCCATAAATGTCATTTGTGGCTTCCCTGCAATTCACTACTTGGTTAATGTCAATAGCCAGTATTGAGCTGATGGAGATCTGGTCAGGAAGTAGTATGATAAAATTAATTTGTTTTTTTACCACCCTGTATCTGCATTGGATTAGCATTCCATCAGCAGAAAACAGCTGCTATATATAAATGTCTACTTTCAGTTTTAGCATTTGGTTAAAGCATGCAAAGGATTGACTCACGGTACAGCCAGACTTATAAAAAGCATCTGGTTAAATTTCTGTCTCTGTGTTTCTAAGCAGAACCGGACTCAACAGCATGCATAGAACTTCAGGTTCCATTCCTAGTGTCTCAAATTAAATGTTTAATAAGCAGTAGTTTGGAAAAGACCTGGCTGAGGCCATGGGAGTGCCTAAAAGACAGAGTAGAAGCAATTCTACCTTTGGGCTGGTCACTGTCTGTTTAAGACATTTCCATTGTTTCTTAAATCGTTATATAACTATTTCCCTAAAAGTCTGTTTAAATGTATACTTTCTTGTTGCAGCATGGTTTAAGATGTTAACCAACTCTTTTTAGTACTGAATATGAACTCAGTAATAAAGAATAATTTAAAAAGTTGCAATCCTAGCTGTGGGATACTGAGGAGAAAAATGGTGTCACTTACTCTAGAGTAGTATTATTTATATTACTGAACTATTCCAAGTAAATAATTCCAGACTTGCAGTCTGAAGCTACCAGACCTCTTCTCAGTAGATCACAACTTTTTTTTTTCTATTGGTCTGTAAGCCAACTGATGCAGATTCATACCCTCCATACATTTGGTATGAAAGTGCATTTTGTTGCATTGGCAGTGAGGGGAGCATAATTTCCTTCACCCAGGTTGAATTGGATCCATTACATTCTAGAGAATCAGCATAGTCTCTCTATTGTGCCGTCCTATCTCCCCCTCCCCATTACTCTCCTCCATTGCTGTGGTGTTCTGTTATTCCTGTGTTATCCAAGACATAGCCTATTGGGCCTCTTCGCTGGAGACTTATTACAGTTTATCTCTGTCTGCCTTTCTTTAAAGCCAGCTGAACATACCCAATGCTCTTCCTCTATGGTAAGATCTAACAGAACCCTGCCCCCCTCCCCAGCTGCTTCTGTGACACACTTCTTAATCTCCTAATACACTCCCTATTCTCTCTACCCTGACCATCTAGGTTTCTGTCTCAAAGCTTAGCCTGGTTATCTCTGCATGAAGCCACCATGTTGTGTTTCTGTTTGTTGAGTCTGGTGTTCACATGAGCTGTTGATTATGCTGCACATGATGTGTATTTATTGGGCATCCTTGAGCATTCCTTTAGTCAAGTTAACTGTTGTCCTACGTTCTAATGAATAATTACCAAGAGAGAATTAGAATCCTTTTCAGATTTTCTGTTTGTTAAGTCATGAGCTCTTTGATGCAATGGAATTGATTTGCAAAATGAATTGAAACTATGAACAAGGTCCATATTGTTATTTTTGTGTGTGAAAATTACCCATACAATGAACAAATAGCACAAATAGAATAAGGTGTGGCAAAGAGAAAGGCACTGTGCATTTGCTCTAGAGTCCAGTACTGAGTGCCTGATAACATTCTTCAAGCATCTAACCTATCTAGGCTTGAAGTCATTCAGCAACAACCCTCTAGCTCCTGTCATGTAGCCCTGTTCCTGCTATCCACTGAAACGCCGTTTACCTTCCCGCCGGAGCAGTACCTATTTATCTACTTGCAGTTCGTGCTTTCGAACTGCTAGGCTGGCAGGAGCAGGGACCAAGCAACAGGAGCTCATCCTGTTGCAGGGATTCGAACCGCCGACCTTCTGATTGGCAAGCCCTAGGCTCTGTGGTTTAACCCACAGCACCACCCGCGTCCCATTGGCATAAATTTCCTCACTTCTTGGTGAAGCTGGGAATAATGGGACTTTGAGGAAGGGATTGGTAACTCTTAAGAAATAATGAATTCCTTCCTTCTCTCAGTCCAAATTTCATAATGCTCATTGGGTTTACTCCACAAATACAGAGTCTTTCCCCTTGGCCTCTATTTTCTTAATTCTGCAAGTAGGATATGTTGAGCAAAACAAGCTAACAGTGTTGTTTAGGGCACCCCCTTGGAATCTCAGCTGAATTGTCTGCCCTTGAACAACAAATATTCCCCTCTCCCACTGGCTGTAACAGAAGTGTTTTCATGCAGAATCAACTCTAGAAAGTGTCAAAACTAACTACTGTTATGCAGGCCAAAAGCCTACTGAAAACAAATGCTGTCAAGGCCAAATGGACTTGACAGAAAAGCATGAATTATAGTTATAGCATCTTAACAATACCTTATTTTAATAGAAAAGGTTGCAGGTATTTTATGTAAACTAAATTATTCAAAGAGAGAACTGTGTTCTATGTCTTGGGCGTGGGTGTACACACACACACACACACACACACACACACACCAAAAGTGCTAATTTTGAGCTCTTAACAGGAAATCAAAGGGGTCTGTTCTCTCCTGGTATACACAGTGGTGAGTAAGATCAGATTGGGGTGTGTGTGTTTTTGGGGGGTGATCTGCACTGTTTCCTGGTTATGTACTTCTTCATTATTTGGCATCAAATTCTTCGCTCTGCAGCAGTGGAAGAGAATGTGGGCACAATATGTACTCAGAAGGGGAAATGTTATTTCCTCCCACAGCATCAGACAGTGCTTCCACAGCACATCTAGTAGAAGAGCAGAAGAGTTTCTTAGGGCACTAAAGGAAACAACCCTTTGTTGTTCTACTTAGCATGGTTTGGGAGGTTCGTTTCCCACCACACCCACCAACAGTCTGCCTGGCAGGGAGTCTTCTCACAAAAGCCAAGGCAAAGTAGTTGATCCCACTTGTTCAGGAAACTCTTGCCTTGGCATAACATAAGTGCAGAACAAGGAATGTTCAAGCTAGTCACATTCCCCTTGGGGAATTGGGTGGGGGAGATGAATACTGAGGGATAAGGCAGGAGCTGTGAGAACAGAAAAGGCCAGTTAGGGGGGGATATCTAATTTAAACTCTGGGGACTGTTAAACAGTAGCAGTCAGGCTAAATAACTGCTTTATCAGAGCAAGGCACAGGCTATGGGAAATACCTAGGGGTCATGAGAAATATAACTGAGAACAGTGAGAACAGTGAGCATGTAGTACAAAGCTATTTTTAAAAAAATCAAGAAGTGGGAAGATCATCAGATCCTGAAGAAATCATTCTAGCTTAGCTTGGTTTTGCAGGCCTATTTGAAAGGGATTCCCCATTCAGAAGGAAACTTTGGAATTGCTGTTGTTCCTCAAATAACATGAATTAAGTATATATTGGGTAAAGTTTCAGTAAACCTTGGCATCTCTAAGGTTAACATTTTTCCTGCAGAGGAGAAAATTCATGGGAAAACACATGTGGATATTATATTGCTTTCCAGTATAATTCATGCATCTGCTCTCATGAGTATTTCTTCAAGGAATATAAATTTCATCAGAATTGACCATTAAACCCCTCATCTCAACTTAGCACTGTCTGCATCTTGCTATTTTGCTGTTGCTTACAACTGAAGACTGATCAGCTACCTCCTTTTTTGGTGGGCTGCTTTCTCCTCCTACTTCTTCCATGGGGTCTGTCACAAGGGAAGCAAAGTAAAGCACACTGTTCTGCAGATGTTGCGCTGGCTGGGCCGTAGCAATTAGGTTTCCGTTAACTGCATGCTCAGCTCCAAGCTTCATAAATATCCTTCAGTGAGCATGAAAAAGTCCTTGCAGAAACCTGAAGAGGCATCTCTGTATGCTGGCCAAAGAATGTTCCCACAAGACCAGGTGGTCTTCAGATAGCCATTTTTCTTTCTTCTGGCCAAGTGGAACAGAACACTAATGAGGAGCAAAGGCCATGGCTGTGTATGCACCCATTTAAATCAGTGAGAAAATTGAACATAGGTTGAACATCAGTGCTCAGCGGAGCCACAGGGCATGCACCACAAGGCGGGTTGGTTATATATTCAAGCTAGATCAGTGTTTCCCAAACTTTTTTGGGCAACGGCACACCTGTTTACTGAAAAAAAATCTCACGGCACACCACCATTAAAGCCCCGCCCCGTGACGTCAGCGCGCAGCGTCACGCCGGGAGGGACGCAGGAAAGTGAAAGTTTTTTCCCTCCCCCTTGCCGGGGAACCTCCAAGCTTTGGGGGTGGGAGGAGGCAGCAGAGCGAGGGACTGAGGGACGGCGGCAAGTCCCGCCCCCTCGCCAGACTCCCTGCTCGGCTCGGCTCACTAGCCAGGCGGCCAGTGGAGAGAGAGCCGCAATTACCATAAAGCTCCTCTCCCTCCGCTTCGCCAAGCTGTCAAAGCCCGGCAGCAGCAGGCGCAGCCAGACCCCCGCCAGCCAGCCCGCCCGCCCGGCTTCCTCTCCTTTTTTTGCCCGCGGCAGAAGGCTTTGCTCTCCCCCTTCTGCGACCTCCTCGCCAAGCCGAGCGAGCGCGGGCTCCCTAACCCGTGGATTTTAGTAGGGGCAGAGAGCTGCTAGTGCGAGCGCGCCCCCCGCCCATGTTGCGCCCGGTGCGGCCGGCACCCCTGGCACCCCCCACGCTACGCCACTGGCGGCAACTGAGGCGGCGGCGGCTGTTGTGGTGGTGGCAGCGATAGCGGGCGGAGGAGGGGGCGGCGGCGGGGCTTGAGGAGCCGTCGCCGGGAGTTGCTGCTGCTGTTGTTGCTGCTGCTGCCCGGACATGCCGGCCTCCTCCTCCTCCGCTGTCTCGCGCTCCTCCCTTTTGCACGCGCTGCCCCGCCGCTCGGCACCACCACCGCGGAGCCACCCCCGGCTCGACGCGGATCCTCGCCGCCGCCGCCTCTCACCGCCCGACTCGCCTGCCTCCCTCCCACGGCACACCAGCCAATGTCTGACGGCACAGTAGTGTGCCGCGGAACACCGGTTGGGAAACACTGAGCTAGATCATCAAAGTAGCAGACTGGAGCAGTCTGAACAGCAAGCAGGGCATAAGGAGACAGTTTCTGTAATGTTCTCCTGTGCTGAGTAATACTTATTACCTGAGGCATGAAGTACTTTGTTTCCATTTCCTCCTGCTTGTCACCATGACCAAGCAGCAGGAAGTTGTGAGCAAAATGGAGGTCTTGCCAGTTACACCTGTTGATCAAATTACATATGGGGCAGTTTCTCAATCCATACAAATCCAAAACAAAATAGCTTTCTTGTCTCACAGGTTATGATATATCAACCAAAGGAATAGCAGAAACTGTGCCTTACCCTACCAGCAAGGCCCATGAAAAATATTTATTGTTAAAGTTGGGGTGTGAGGGAGAGAGATTTTGGATAATGCCACTGAAGAACCATGGGGAACTGTTGAGGAATGAGGAAGAAAAAAATAGGCTAACAATTTGGTCCTAGAAGACAGATTATATATCTGCATTCATCTGTCTGAACTTCTGGGACTAGTGAAAGATTAGAGGTCTATAAGGCAGGGGAACAGTGCAGTGAGCTCTTCCTGTGAAGTAGCATTTTCTGTGGCCCAGGGTCTGTGTTCCTCATCTTCTGTTGTAACTACTGCCCTCTGTGCCAATGGGTTCCAGAACGCAGAGGAAAACTCTCGCATCTCAATCACCTTTTTCCGACTCTTCCGCGTGATGCGTCTGGTGAAGCTCTTGAGCCGAGGCGAGGGCATCCGCACACTGCTATGGACCTTCATCAAATCCTTCCAGGTAATTCTTTATTTCTTCTTCTATGCCTTTGCCTTGGGACAGTACTGATGTGTTTGCCACCTCTACATTGCACATTTTTATATAGATCAGCAATGATCCCTGAATGGATAGTTTTTTCCAGTCACAGGTCTCCCAGCATTAGGGTGAATGTGATGAGGCAGGATGAGGTAAAGGATTTCAAAATCTAAACCCAGATCTGTAAATCATGTGGAGGTGTGGAATTGTTTAGTAAACTAGCTGATTTTTATGTTTCATAAACTCCCTTTAGTGCAGTTTCCAGAGGAGTAACCATGTTAGTGTGTTGCAAGAAAAACACCCAAGTCTTGTCACATCTTCAAAGTTAACACATTTATTATGGCCTAATATATTTATTAGTGGCTAAGGTGCCACAATACCTTCTTTCCTGAATTTTAAGTTAATACTGGACATTGAATTGGGATTGTTGGATCCTCCTCTGATAAACATGCTAAGGCAAAATGATTGATATAGTCATATTTTCCCAAGGTAGTTCACAACCCTAGTTTGTATTTTTTTTTATTTTATATTAAAAGTACGGTGTTTTACTTTGTCCCATCAGGTCAGCCTGCGAACAAGCACTATCTTTTTGCACTGATGATTTATGCATCTGTGGTCACAACCAGAAATTTGGCTTTGTCCAGTAATGGCAACAGCTCCAACCCCTATGCATGCTTTGGGCAAAAGCTGATGTATCTTAATAACAGACACCAGTACTAAATCCATGGCAATGGTCACAAGACAATGTGAGCTCACACAATTTGTTGTTGGCATCTGTCTGTCTCGAGAGACAATGGAGTGTGCCTCCGAGGGGAGAATCACAGTGCCTGCTGTGGCTGCAGAGACCAGCAACTTGTAACTGCTGCTTCCTGCATTGTTTTTGTTGTGTTAGCAGCACCAAAATTAACTCCCCAGGGCACAGGCCTGTGCAGTGTATATAGAGGTCCTGGGCTGCCCAGATTATAAGACACACACACCCTCAGCCTTGCTGATGTGATCCAAAGGAAAGCAGAGCAGTACATTTGGCATCAGCTTGGCTGCAGGAGCTGCTAGAAGGAAGTGTACAAGACTCCATCCAACCATCTTAGTGGCTCCACTCTGGATTTGTCTGTAGGGTTCACTCTTTAGCCTTTTCTTCCCCCAAAGATGTCCCTCAAGGCTCAGGTGTGGATTTTTCATCAGGGTTTACTCCCGAAGCCTTTCTCACAAATGAATAAAAACCTCAAGGCAGTGGAGGTTTAGGATCAGTTTTCCTTCTCTTAGATGGGCTACCTTTCGGGCTGACGAGCCCCATGAGCTAAGCAGAAATAACCCATGGGTGTCAACAAGCACCATTTTTAAAAAATGCATTTTAAAAAATTATTATCAGCAAGTTTACAGCCAAGGAGTTTCCTGACAGAACTTTAAAAACAGGCCCCAAACAAAGGACCTAGCTCTGTCCTTCTGTAGTCTGTCAATATCAGTCCTATTTCTCAGCACAACAAATTGCTCCATCTCTCATTCCCTTTACATCTTTATTAACGCTGTGCCTCTCACTGAGTCACTGTTTGGTTCTTAGTTCTGTCTTCCATGATCCTTTATAATTTACCCATATGGACAGTATCATAAACAAGTAGAAAGTCAGTTGTCAAAAAGAGCAAGAATTGCGTGCTTAGAGGTTATTCAGACAAACATAACAAGAGTGTTAATTTTTTGGAGTCAATAAATGACAGAAAATGGAAATTTACAAAACATGTACACTGCAAATGGATCCCAAAAAGGAATGAATTCCATTGTCATTGTGATTTCAGCAATATTTTCCAGTGTTTCCAAAAGATGTCCACAAAGTTTAACAAAATTCTATTCTGCACAGGAACATACATGTTGACAGTGCTAAATAGTTACTAAATATAAGAACAGCAATATTCATTGAAACCCAACGTCATTACTTATTAGATGAATTAAGACACTCTACTTTCCTCATCTCCTTCATGGATCACTGCCTTGCCGTGGCGAAGGGGCTTGAATAACTCAGAGAAGCTATGAGCTATGCCGTGCAGGGCCACCCAAGATGGACAGGTCATAGTGGAGAGTTTTGACCAAACGTGATCCACCTGGAGCAGGAACTGGCAGGCCACTCCAGTATCCCTGCCAAGAAAACGCCATGGACAAAGACAACAGGCATATAAAAGTTATGACGCTGGAAGATGAGCCCCTCAGGTCGGAAGGTGTCCAACATGCTACTGGGGAAGAGCGGAGGACAAGTACAAGTAGATCCAGAGCTGATGAAGCGGCTGGGCCAAAGCCGAAAGGACGCTCAGTTGCGGATATGCATGGAAGCGAAAGGAAAGTCCAATGCTGTAAAGAAAAATATTGCATAGGAACCTGGAATGTAAGAACCATGAACCTGGGTAAGTTGGATGTGGTCAAAAATGAGATGGCAAGAATAAATATTGACATCTTGGGCATCAGTGAACTAAAATGGACGGGAATGGGCCAATTCAGTTCGGATGACTATCATATCTACTACTGTGGACAAGAAACCCGTAAAAGAAATGGAGTGGCCCTCATAGTCAACAAAAGAGTGGTGAAAGCTGTACTGGGATGCAATCTCAAAAATGATAGAATGATCTCGATACGAATCCAAGGCAGACCTTTTAACATCACAGTAATCCAAGTTTATGCACCAACTACTGGTGCTGAAGAAACTGAAATTGACCAATTCTATGAAGACTTACAAGACCTTATAGAAATGACACCAAAGAAGGATGTTCTGCTCATAATAGGGGATTGGAATGCTAAAGTAGGGAATCAAGAGATAAAAGGAACAACTGGCAAGTTTGGCCTTGGAGTTCAAAACGAAGCAGGGCAAAGGCTAATAGAGTTCTGTCAAGAGAACAAGCTGGTCATCACAAACACGCTTTTCCAACAACACAAGAGACGACTCTACACATGGACATCACCAGATGGGCAGCATCGAAATCAGATTGATTATATTCTCTGCAGCCAAAGATGGAGAAGCTCTATACAGTCAGCAAAAACAAGACCTGGAGCTGACTGTGGCTCAGATCATCAGCTTCTTATAGCAAAATTCAAGCTTAAACTGAAGAAAGTAGGAAAAACCACTGGGCCGGTAAGATACAATCTAAGTCAAATCCCTTATGAATACACAGTGGAAGTGAGGAACAGGTTTAAGGATTTAGATTTGGTGGACAGAGTGCCTGAAGAACTATGGATGGAGGCTCGTAACATTATACAAGAGGCAGCAACTAAAACCATCCCAATGAAAAGGAAATGCAAGAAAGCAAAGTGGCTGTCCAACGAGGCCTTACAAATAGTGGGGGAGAGAAGGCAAGCAAAATGCGAGGGAGATAGTGAAAGATACAGGAAATTGAATGCAGATTTCCAAAAAAATAGCAAGGAGAGACAAGAAGGCCTTCTTAAACGAGCAATGCAAAGAAATGGAGGAAAACAATAGAATGGGAAGAACCAGAGATCTGTTCAAGAAAATTGGAGATATGAAAGGAACATTTTGTACAAAGATTTCCATAATAAAAGACAAAAGTGGAAAGGACCTAACAGAAGCAGAAGACATCAAGAAGAGGTGGCAAGAATACACAGAGGAACTATACCAGAAAGAAATTGATGTCTCGTATACCCCAGGTAGTGTGGTTGCTGACCTTGAGCCAGACATCCTGGAAAGTGAAGTCAAATGGGCCTTAGAAAGCATCGCTAATAACAAGGCCAGTGGAAGTGATGATATTCCAGCTGAATTATTTAAAATTTTAAAAGATGATGCTGTTAAGGTGCTACACTCAATATGCCAGCAAATTTGGAAAACTCAGCAGTGGCCAGAAGATTGGAGAAGATCAGTCTACATCCCAATCCCAAAGAAGGGAAGTGCCAAAGAATGCTCCAACTACCGCACAATTGCACTTATTTCACACGCTAGCAAGGTTATGCTTAAAATTCTACAAGGCAGGCTTAAGCAGTATGTGGACCGAGAACTCCCAGAAGTGCAAGCTGGATTTAGAAGAGGCAGAGGAACCAGAGACCAAATTGCAAACATGCGCTGGATTATGGAGAAAGCTAGAGAGTTCCAGAAAGACATCTACTTCTGCTTCATTGACTATGCAAAAGCCTTTGACTGTGTCGACCACAGCAAACTATGGCAAGTTCTTAAAGAAATGGGAGTGCCTGATCACCTCATCTGTCTCCTGAGAAATCTCTATGTGGGACAAGAAGCTACAGTTAGAACTGGATATGGAACAAATGATTGGTTCAAAATTGGGAAAGGAGTACGACAAGGCTGTATATTGTCCCCCTGCTTATTTAACTTATATGCAGAATTCATCATGCAAAAGGCTGGGCTGGATGAATCCCAAGCCGGAATTAAGATCGCCGGAAGAAATATCAACAACCTCAGATATGCAGATGACACAACCTTGATGGCAGAAAGTGAGGAGGAATTAAAGAACCTTTTAATGAGGGTGAAAGAGGAGAGCGCAAAATATGGTCTGAAGCTCAACATCAAAAAAAAACGAAGATCATGGCCACTGGTCCCATCACCTCCTGGCAAATAGAAGGGGAAGAAATGGAGGCAGTGAGAGATTTTATTTTCTTGGGCTCCATGATCACTGCAGATGGTGACAGCAGCCACGAAATTAAAAGACGCCTGCTCCTTGGGAGAAAGGCGATGGCAAATCTAGACAACATCTTAAAAAGTAGAGACATCACCTTACCAACAAAGGTCCGTATAGTTAAAGCCATGGTTTTCCCAGTAGTGATGTATGGAAGTGAGAGCTGGACCATAAAGAAGGCTGATCGCCGAAGAATTGATGCTTTTGAATTATGGTGCTGGAGGAGACTCTTGAGAGTCCCATGGACTGCAAGAAGATCAAACGCATCCATTCTTGAGGAAATCAGACCTGAGTGCTCACTGGAAGGACAGATCGTGAAGTTGAGGCTCCAATACTTTGGCCACCTCATGAGAAGAGAAGACTCCCTGGAAAAGACCCTGATGTTGGGAAAGATGGAGGGCACAAGGAGAAGGGGACGACAGAGGATGAGATGGTTGGATAGTGTTCTCGAAGCTACAAACATGAGCCTGACCAAACTGCGGGAGGCGGTGGAAGACAGGAGTGCCTGGCGTGCTCTGGTCCATGGGGTCATGAAGAGTCGGACACGACTAAACGACTAAACAACAACAACACTTTCCTCATAGTTACATAAAAAAGTAATGAATGACCTCGTTTCAAAAATGCTTTATCACCATATTTCTCCATAGAATAATTTAAAAACATTTCACCCCAACTTCCACTAACAAACAGGAAACAATACTTGGAATTAAATTACTTATGAAGCTTATAAAAGCAGTGGCAGAAATACTTAATTTTAAAGTAGGGAAGAGTAGTTTATGCTGTCGTTGTCGTATATTGGTTATTGCACAGAAAAATGTAACTTTTTCAAAAAAAAAATCCACAAGATACAGTATACACCTGCCTGCATTGAGATGATGGTAACATATTTACTATACCCAAGATAAAAGCAAATATTGGGCATTAGCCAATGTTGGCTTATGTTCAACAGCAGTACTACAGATATTGTCTACTGAAAGCAAGACCCACTTCACATATTTTTTCTGACACAAATATTAATAATAATTTCAGAAAAATGAATGTGCAGTGCAAGACTTATTGACAATATAATTATGGTTCTGTGTGTTGATAGCAAGTTTAGTCAAAGATCAGGCGAAGTCAAAGATGGATCAGTAGAGGCACCTAGTGGAAAAACAGACACATTACAACAATTCATTGTTCTTGCAATGATTTCGCATAATACTGTACATGCATTAAAAAAAAATAGATGCACAAGTGCATCCATGTTTCCACTTTCTGCCATATATGACTTGCCACTTATACAGCTTCAGGGATGGGGTGGACGACTATTGCTGCTGCTGTTGCTTACATTTATAGCCTGCCATTCCTCCAAAGACTTTAAGGTACTGTACATGGTCATTGCCCCCCACCCACAACACATACATTTATTGTTGTTATTTGTCTTCCACACACATATCTCAAGGTGATATACAAAATTCCATTCAAAGAAATAAATATTGTTGAAAGCAACATGGAGAATAACCTCAGATAAGCTCAAAAACAATAACCAACTAGGCACACCTAAGGCAGAGACTTATTCAGTGGTGAAAGTCTGTCCTAACAACAATCTTGTGAGGTAAGCTTGGACGGGAGATATGAGACCCAAGGTTATCCAGTGAACGTCATGGCTGGGCAGAAATCTGAACCTGTTTCCCCAATCCTAGTCCAATATTCTAACCATTTCAACATGGTGGGTCTCCAAGGGATGTATGAATTTCCATTTGGAATGTGACAACATGTGAGGGAAACAGCAAGTATAAATGCATTTTCATGTGCTTTGCTGCACACTGAATAGGCAAAGCCACTTTTGCCTTCTGTCTCATCCCTTCAGGCTGTTGTAATAACATATAGGGGCTTGCTGAAATACCCCTTTCTTCAACAAGTCAAACTGTCTTATTAAGTGGCACACCATGATCTATTTTGGGTTTTTTTTCCCCCAGGCTCTTCCCTATGTGGCTCTTTTAATAGTGATGCTGTTTTTTATCTATGCTGTGATCGGGATGCAGGTAGGTGATTTCCTAAAATTAATGTTTTCACATACAAAAGTATATATGGAAGTCAACAAACACTTGTAGGAAAATGATTTGATTGACCCAAATATTTTGACAAAGTGCACAAAAATAGAGTATATTGAAAGAGATGTGCCAATAGGACTTTGATGTTCATATTTGTTATGTCAGTTCAAACAATTTGGTGGAGACAATGGAGAAGGGGCTTCCTGGTTCATTTTGAAGTTGTTTGGGGGTCTGGAAATGTATGGTCAAGGAACGAGGAGCAAGCCCCTGCTGCTTTCTTCATTTTATTTATTAATTTTTTACAGAGGTTGTTCACCATGGGTGGGGCAACATTAGAGAAGATTAATTGCTTTCCCAGCTAGTATAAATACTTAAGTGGATATATTCACGTCAAAGGATAAAAACCCCTGTAAAAGGATGACTTTGACCTGTGTTGAGAAGATTGCTACAGTTGCTTTGAAGTACAGGTGAAAAACCACACCAAATGCTCTTAGAATATTGTCCCTGCTTTTTAGCAGTTTAATTTAGAATTTATCTAAACATTGGCATATGAATCTTAGTTGCAGTAAATCTTACATCTCTTTTGACCACCAGCCTTATCTGAAATATCATAAGAACATAGGAGTCTGCCTTACACCAAGTCAGACTATTGGGCCACATAGCTCCGTATTGCCTACAGTAACTGGCAGCTACTCTGTAAGGTTTCAGGAAGGAGACCTTCCCAGCCCTACCTGGAGATGCTGGGGAGTGAACCTGAGACTGTCTGAACATAGGCATACCTAGGTTCCTTGTGCCCTTGGCCAGGAGCTGTATTGACGACCCACCCAGAAAAGAATCTGAGAAGCAGGTGAGATTGCTTGGACAGGAGGAACATGCCTCCTTGTGGCTGGATATTGCTTTCTGCCTGGAAGCCGCTCCAAGGATCCCTTTCCACTCCCTCCTGCAACAGCAGCTGCAGCTTTTCCTTCTGGAGATCTCAGAGGATTCCTTCTGCAGGCAAAACAGGTGCTTTTGCACCCCCAGGACAGGCTGCTTTTGCCAACCCCTAAGTATGCCTCTGCTTCTGCATGTAAGGGCAGATGCTGTACCATTTAGCTATCACCCTTCACCATCTGGTTTTGCACTGCCACTCTAAAATCAATTGATGAAAGAGCTACATTGACACAATTGGTTTACAACTCATGGAACTTCAGTTTGTGTCATAATTTGGGGCTGGCATTGGGGAAACATGCCACCCGTGACTTCAACAGCTGTGTAGCAGGTAGAAATTCAATAGGTTACAATTATAGGAAAAGCTTCGCCTGACAGCATTTTGTCAGTCAGACACCCTACAACTTGTGGATAGCTACTGATTTATTATGGGGCCTTCCACCCCACTCACAAAAGAGGACACAAAATTGTGTATGAAACACACATGCACACAAAGCAAATATTATACATATGTGTGCCTTCTTTTCCAGTGGGGGTGGAGAGCCCAATCCACAAAGTGTACTGGACCAGAAAATGTTGGAATCCCTGGTTCAATACATTCAATCAAGTTCTTGGTATGCGTGTATGTTGCAGAGAAGAAGTGAAGCTTTAGAAACACACTTTTCCCTTCTGCTACAACGTGGTGTACCTGGCAGTGTTTATCTGTCCAGTGTCAGTGGTGGTGGGTGGATTTTGCCCACACCACACCATTGTCTATCAAACACAGTATCTTATTTCCCCCCATATGCATGGATAGCAGCCATTCACTTACATGGGGGGGGGAGTGTGTACTCAGGGGCAGAACTGAGGTGGGAGCTAAACTACCCCTGGGTTTGCAACTCTCCCAACAGCATTGTTTATTGCAACCCATCTTCCTCCATGCAGATTAAACCTGCTCCTGTCTTGGTCATAGTATAATATGGTTGCTAATGTAATAGAGACAGAACCCACAGAGCTTCCTTTTAATATATGACAAGGCAGAAATGCACCTAATTTGTACACAATATTTAATTATCCCAGATGAATGTTGGACACTTTGCCTCATTCAAGATTTTAACAATCTAATTGATCTTATTATATTGCAAAACCAATATTTCTGCAAAAGAAGAAATATCTGCATTAAAATGTGTATCTTTGTCACAAACAAAGTTCTTGCATTAATCTATATTTTGAATTTGACATAACAAAGAAATAATTAGAAAAGGTTCAGGCAATTCTAACTCACATTCATATTTTCATAAATAATTAATAAATATTAGGTGCTAAGTATTTTTTATTATGTCTCTTCTCTTTGGCAATCACTCGTAGCAGAGTAAGATTGTCTTCCACGAACACTGTCTTAACAGTGAGTCTGTATAGGACTGTGGAGGCCAATTCTGGATCCACATGTCCTTCCACAATGGGGACATAGGTTTCCTGACGGGAGTTGATGAAGGTGAAGGTTTGTCAAATGTGCCTTCCTCTTAGCTCCTTTCTCCTTTTCGCCCCGAGTTCATGCTTCTTCAAAGTCCATCACACCTTTGGTAAAGGCTGTTCTCCAGCTGGAGCGCTCGCAGGCCCAGCTATCAGTACTTCTACTACATTTGTTTAGATTTGCCTTGAGAGTGTCTTTAAACCCCTTTCGCTTTCCATTTTTGAGTTTGGAATAGAGTAGTTGCTTTGGAAGACAATAATCATATCCTCCTCAACTCTGCAAAGTCCCATTTCCTCAGCTACTCAACTCTTGATGGGCATGAAGGGTTTTGCCAAATCCCTTGCAGTGAAAAAGCCTGGTGAGAGTTGTTTGAATCCACTTGATGCAAGAGTTCCCTTTTTTTTAAAAAAATGCCCTTGAGACATTACTATTGAGTCATCAGTTTGGATGCACCAGAACTGACAGTGACATGAGACTTTCCTATTTAAGGAAAGAAAGAAAGAATCTATCTTAGCTGTCTCTTCTGATACTAAGCATCACAATGCTTAAGCTTCACCAACTTATGTGACCAAGTGGAAAAACACAAATTGATTATGATGGATGACGCTGCCCAGCTGAAGGTTCAACAAGTGTGCTTAGAGGAAGAATCTTCTTTTCTGTCTTCTGCATTGCAATCACTTCTACATACTGTACTTTGCTAATGAGTAAGATGAAATGCTGATTTTAGCCTAACCATTGCCCCTCATTTAGTCTGTTATATGAAGAGCTTAAAAGAACAAATGAAATATCTCATGGAAACATTGCCTCATACTCTTCTTTCCTGAGATGAAAAATATGGCCTGCCTCAGAGTATTTAATCTGTCCTCCTGCAACGGTAACTCCCAACACCCCCTCAGAACAGCTGCAACTGTCATTACTAAAATAGTGAGTCTGAGCCTGGGGGAGTCTGAGCCTAGAGAATTTCAGAGTACTCCTAAGGCAACTAACTTAGAATAACTTCATTTTAAAAGCAATTTTCTGCCTCTCATGCTAATTTTTTTAGAACATTCCTGTATTTCTTTCTCTTTAAAAAGCATGATGCTCAGAAGGATATTGCAGCACCTAAGCCTACCAGCAAGGGACGCGGGTGGCGCTGTGGGTTAAACTACAGAGCCTAGAACTTGCCGATCAGAAGGTCGGCAGTTCAAATTCCCGCAATGGGGTGAGCTTCCATTGCTCGGTCCCAGCTCCTGCCAACCTAGCAGTTCGAAAGCACCTCAAAGTGCAAGTAGATAAATAGGTACCGCTCCGGTGGGAAGGTAAACGGCGTTTCCATGCGCTGCTCTGGTTCGCCAGAAGCGACGTAGTCATGCTGGCCACATGACCCGGAAGCTGTACGCTGGCTCCCTTGGCCAATAAAGCGAGATGAGCGCTGCAACCCCAGAGTCGTCCGCGACTGGACCTAATCGTCAGGGGTCCCTTTACCTTTACTAAGCCTACCAACAGGATTTTCTAGAACCACCACATGTGCAGAAATCAACCAGATTCTGCAGCACTTGCACATGAAAACAACAAGGAAAATATATCTCACAAGATACAGAGAATTGCAAGATGGTAGCCCTACTATGAATTGTAGCATGATACTGAACTAAAGTGCTGGGTTCATGCATATGTCACAGAATTAATTATTTCTGTACTGGTTCTTAAATAACAGAAGAATGTTCTTTAAATTTAAATGTAAATTCATCTTTACATGGCATCTTCTTCACTTATATACTGAAGCTAAAGTACTTATAGCTGTCAAATGAAGGGAAAGGATTTCTTGGCAAATCTCTCCTAGCCTGCCTAAGCTCTCCAAGGATTGTGTGATGTGGCCAACAGAATAACCGTGTAATTTTACATACACAATGTGTAATCTTGTGCTCAAATTTTGTAACTAAACCACTGTAAATCCTCTGTACTTATTTTTGAAAAATATTTGTATTAATGTCATTTGTAAATTGAGAGAAAACACACATTGAGTTATATGGATAAAGAAAAACTGAAGGGCTACAGAAGCTTTAGAACAGATTAGAATTTAACCCAATTCTGAATAATTTTAGAGTTGGCCTTAAAATTCAAAGATTCAGTTACAGAAAAGGAAAAATAGAGTTCAATCAAATATCTACACAGTACTGGGGAACAGTGTTCAAAACTCCCATTGTTCTAGGTGCATTTTGTGACAAGGGATTTCATGAGCACGAGCAGTTTCGGAGCTCTGGCCACAGTACTGCACCTAAGATTTCAGATTAAAACTGCAGAGTGAAAGAAAAGAAGAAACTTTTTCTGCCTCCCCACTTCCAGCTACTCTCTGAGAAGAGAAGAGACTGGAGAAGAGGCCATCTTAAGAATATTAGGTGGGTGGGCAGGGGAAGGAATAGACCATGTGAAAAATGAACATTCAGCTGCAGTTCATTAATTTTCAGCATTGTATTATTGTTATTAAAATAGTTTGCCTAGACATTCCGGCGTTGCGTCCATAACCTAGGTTTAAGGCGCCATTTAGCTCCTAACTTTCATATCTTAGTAGGCTGACGTTGAATCTGCTATCCCGAGGAATAGCCCCACTGATCCTCTGCGACCAGTTCCAGTCAGGCTGGCAGACAGCAGTCCTGAACACCCTTCAGAAACTGGGTGTTGCCCCTCAGGCCCTTCTAAGTCTGGGGTTGGGCCAGGCAAAAGCTACGGTCAGGCAGAGAATCATAGACACTGAGAGACAACAGGACTGCTCAAGGTGCCCCGACTGTAAAATTGGAGAAATCGAGAGATATATAGCCACACCAGCAGCATATCTCTTCTTTCTCGTATCCAAAAATGCAAGAAGGGCTTTTACACTTGCCAGAAGCTCGGCTCTGCCCTTGCCGGTCCTGGAAGGATCCTTTTAAAAAGTCCCATATGCTCAGAGACTTTGTGCCTGTTCATGTGGGGATATAGGAAGCCCAGAGCACTTGTTCTTTAGATGTCCCTTTTATGAAGAGGCACGTAGTGAGACCATTGATCCCCTTCTGGTGAGGCTCGCTGACCTCCCAGAAAAGCAAAAAATTGACCTTTTCCTGTCAGATCATAAGAAGACCCGGATGGTTGCGAGATTCTGTTTACAGATCTGTAGGCACAGACTATCCCCCAACCCAAACTAGTTCGTTAAGAAAATCCCCAAACTCGATTCCATGGGTGACTCTGGGTCATCTCTCTGCGGTAGCTTATCTTAAAGTTTTAAATGTCTATACGCTTATCAAATTTATAAATTTTAAGTTTCTTGTTGTACATTGTTTTAAATATTTGTTTTCCTTCTGGGATTGTAGCCCCAAGTATGTTTTATAAGCTGGTCTCCGACCGTAATAAATTATCTATCTATCTTAGTTTCTAACACTGCGGGGGAAAGATGTGAAACAAATGAGTTTGAATATCTGAAATGTGCATCCATATTTTATTTATTTATTTATTTATTTATTTAAAATAAATAAGAATATTAATGTGATAGCTAGCATGAAGTATAATCTTACAAGCTCCTTTTTTCTACTAGGTGTTTGGTAAAATTGCCCTGAATGATACCACAGACATAAACCGGAACAACAACTTTCAGACCTTCCCCCAGGCAGTACTACTGCTTTTCAGGTGGGTTTCACACTTGTTTCCCTGGTTCAACTATATCATGGAGAAGTTAGTCACTGTGTCTAAGAGAAGCCACCTTACACTTGGGCTGTGATCCAATCTCTAGATCAGAGCTTTCCAAATTGTGTGTTGTGACATGATAGTGTGTCATCTGCAGTGTGTAGGTGTGTCGCATGAATACTCCCTGTGCTCCTCCCGGGGCTGGAAAGGGGTTAGGTTAACCTCCAGTTTGCTAGTAAAACTGAATTATTGTGTCACAAAATGATGCACAGTGGTACCTCGCAAGACGAATGCCTCGCAAGACGGAAAACTCGCAAGAAGAAAGAGTTTTCCGTTTTTCGAGGTGCTTCGCCAGACAAATTTCCCTATGGGCTTGCTTCGCAAGAAGAAAGCCCATAGGGAAATCTCCGGGGACCTCTTTTAAAATGCTGGCGGTCGGGAGCAAAGACTTTCGCCCACCACCGGCCTTCAGAAGAGGTCCCGCCGGCCTTCAGAAGAGGTCCTGGACCTCTTCTGAAGGCCGGCGGGGGGCAAAACTCTTTGCTCCCCCCCACCTGCCTTCCTGGGACAGCGGAGACTTCTCCGCTGTCCCGGGGTGATCTTAAAATGCTGGCGGGCGGCAGCGAAGCCTTCGCTGCCGACCCCCAGCATTTTAAAAGCCCCCGGGACAGCGGAGACTTCTCCGCTGTCCTGGGCGATCTTAAAATGCTGGCGGGCGGCAGCGAAGCCTTCCTGCCTGCCTTCCCGGGACAGCGGAGACTTCTCCGCTGTCCCGGGCGATCTTAAAATGCTGGCGGGCGGTAGCGAAGCCTTCCTGCCTGCCTTCCCCGGGACAGCGGAGACTTCTCCGCTGTCCCGGGCGATCTTAAAATGCTGGCGGGCGGCAGCGAAGCCTTCGCTGCCACCCGCCAGCATTTTAAAATCGCCCCGGGGGCTTTTAAAATGCTGTCTCCGCTGTCCCGGGGGCTTTTAAAATGCTGGCGGTCGGCAGCAAAGCCCTCCTGTCCCCGGAGCTTGCGGGGCGGGAGGTGGGGAGAAGGGCTTTTCTTCCTACCGCCAGCCTTAAGAACAGCCTTCTGAAGGCTGGCGGTGGGAAGAAAAGCCCTTGTCCCGTCCCCCCCCAGCCTTCAGAAGAGGTCGGGGGACAGACTGTCCCCGGACCTGGTCTGAAGGCGGTTTCCATAGGAACGCATTGATTGATTTTCAATGCATTCCTATGGGAAACCGTGCTTCGCAAGACAAAAAACTCGCAAGAAGAAAAAACTCGCGGAACGAATTAATTTCGTCTTGCGAGGTACCACTGCATATCTAAAAAAGTGTGTCACCAACATGAAAACTTTGGAAAGCTCTGCTCTAGATTATTCAGTGGTAAAGATGAATCACCTTCTTCCCATCAACCCCTTTTCAATAGATGTGCTACTGGCGAAGCTTGGCAGGAAATCATGCTGGCATGCCTCCCAGATAAGAAGTGTGACCCTGAATCCTTGGAATCAAACAACTCTACTGAAGGTGAACATTCCTGTGGGAGCAGCTTTGCTATCTTTTATTTCATCAGTTTCTACATGCTGTGTGCCTTCCTAGTAAGTATATGTCAGCAGCTTATGAGTGTTGGTGATTAACGTGCACTTAACTTGGAAACATAGGATGCAAAATTTTGCGTGACAGACTACAAAATATGTCAGTCATTCTTACCTACTGGGTCTGCATAGACCATTTATCTCTCTTTTAAATTACTTGGTCTTTAATTTCACTTGCTTACCACTTTATTTTACTTTATTTTATCCATACTAGTATTTGTTGTATTAAACAGAGTATGCAGGTTTGTAACTATATAATAGATTATATACATAGGATGCTGCCTTAAACTCGATCAAGCTAGTGGTGCCTTTTCCATCACCTACTACTTGTTCCTTTTCAAAACAAAGCAATGAAGTCTAGGTTCCTTTTCAGTTAAATGTTTTACAGAGTTTTCTTCTTCAAAAACTCAAATTCTGAATTGTGCATGGAAAGGAACTTGAATTGTGGATGTTCTAGCATGAAATACTGACTATTATTGTTGTTTCTGATCTTCCTTGCAGATCATTAACCTTTTTGTAGCTGTTATCATGGATAATTTTGATTACTTAACACGGGATTGGTCTATTCTGGGTCCTCATCATCTGGATGAGTTTAAACGGATCTGGGCTGAATATGATCCAGAAGCCAAGTAAGTCCCAGGACCATGTTCCAGATACATTTTTAGGAGAATAGTTGCCCTAACTTCTGTCTATTCACCACTGAATTTATTATTCTAAAACCATAGTTGTGGCATAGCTAAAAGTAACAACAACAACACTTTTGTAAAGCATTTTCAAGTGTTGAAAGTGCTTCACATGCATTATCTAATTTTTGTTCTTATAATAGCTCAGTAAAATGAGTTGTATTATTATCCTCCCTATTGCAGGTAGGAGAGACAGAGTTGTTTACTTAAAATAAATTGTTGACCAGAATGCAGCATAAGTAATTTTGGAGAATGCTCTAGAGAGAAGAAACTTTAGCTGAATAACATCCTTTTGTTTTGAGAATTTTAAAAAAGGTTTTACAAAAGACCACTATTTTTAGCTGAATTTAGGACCATGAGGACTCAAAACCCAAAAGATCTGGACCAAAGTGTCAACCTCTATATCCAACACCACAGAGCAGTTATAAGGAAGGTATACCTGATCAGAACTGCTTTTACAGCGCATACGTGGGTGGTGCTGTCGTCTAAACCACTGAGCCTCTTGGGCTTGCTGATCAGAAGGTTGGCAGTTTGAATCCCTGCAACAGAGTGAGCTCCCGTTGCTCTGTCCCAGCTCCTGCCAACCTAGCAGTTCAAAAGCATGCCAATGCAAGTAGATAAATAGGTACCGCTGTGGCGGGAAGGTAAACGGCATTTCTGTGCGCTCTGGTTTCTGTCACGGTGTCCCGTAGTGCCAGAAGCAGTTTAGTGATGCTGGCCACATGACCTGGAAAGCTGTCTGTGGACCAACGCCGGCTCCCTTGGCCTGAATCGAGATGAGTGGCACAACCCCATAGTTGCCTTTCACTGGACTTAACCGTCCAGGGGTCCTTTACCTTTATCCTTTACAGTGCATAAGCAAAACATAGCCAGATTATTTAAGAATACAGAATGCAGGTGGAAGTCTTTACTCATAATTGCATATATTTGCACAGTTGCATTCTAGTGTTAGTTAACTTCTCTTTTGTTTTTCTTACTAAATGTGTTTAGAACCTGAAATGCATTATTCCTTTATAAAGGATATTCTGTAGAGCAGGGGTAGCCAATGTGGTGCCTTCCAGATGTTGCTGAACTCCAACTCCCATCATCTCTGACCATTGGCCTTGCTGGCTGGGCTGATGTGAGTTGGAATCACCAACACTTGGAAGGCACAACATTGCCCATCCCTCACCATAGAGGCTTTTATTGAATTAGAGAAAGTGAGTTTTTCAGGAGTAAATTTATAGTCCTAGTTTCACTAGACTAGGAAAGCAGGTTTATTTTCAGTGTCACAGTGCATGCTGCTACATCATGGGATAAAGTCCCTTAGAAAGTCAGAGGGAGTATACTACACTGCTATAGGCTTAGAAAGAGGCAGATGCACAAATCATTGGTTTTTCTGAATTAAGAGATAACTGATTTAAGTATGTTTTGTTGTAAAATCCTACCAATTCAATAAAAACCCATATTATTGTATGTGTTTTGCATCACTGCAACTTAAAAGCAAGAGTTAGTTGCAATGCCCTGGTTTTTGTTAAAACTAACGTCATAAGGTATAGGCCCTAAATCAAAGCCTGTATCTGCTTCCTTTGCAACAGACACAGCATAGAATTCAATTGTTACAGCTTGCACTAGCTCCAGAATAAAAATAACAACAGAATTTGCTATACACATACAGAAACAGTTGGAAAATATCCTGAAAATATAAGGTGATACAGGAAGGCAAAGCAATAGGCCAGAGAGCCTGAGATCCCAATTCTTCAATATGAACTTCTCAAAACTCAAGATGAACAATTCTCAGATTTAGTATTTCATTCCCAACACAGAATGCACAGCATATTTGAGATACTTTTTAAAAAAATTGTCTGGGTTAATCAAAAACCAGTAGTAGGGAACTGGCATGCAACTTGGGCCCTTAGCAATGAAGGCACTCAGGCTCACAGGATTGTATTTGACTCAGATAAACTCATATAGTGTAGGTGGAATTCAGTGTCATGTTATGATGATTGTTCCATCTGCACATGCATTTCTGACTGCCAGACACAACAATTTCCCCAATCCTTCCCCTGCATGCTATTTTGGGGGTTCTCTCAACTCTCTTAGAGGAGATGAGGGGAAGGTGCAGGGGCAAGAAGATGAGAAAAGCCCCACTGCACTAGCAGGAGTCCTTGCACTGATTCTCACTAGCACAATGAGTTAGTTAAATCTGGTCCTGTATTCCTAACTAAGTGACACGTCCCTTTTGCACTTTCTCCTATAGGGGACGTATCAAACACCTAGATGTGGTGACACTGCTCCGTCGGATACAGCCTCCACTGGGTTTTGGGAAACTCTGTCCTCACCGGGTAGCTTGCAAGGTATGACACTTCTTTCTTTTTACAAAGGCAATCACATTAACAGAATCTAATCTTTGTTTGCAGTGCTGTTTTTCTAGAAAAAGAGGTGCCTTGTTTAAAAGGTTAAGAAAAATGACTCCCTTGTTCTCTTATTATGGCAATGGCACCCATCTGATAGGTGCTGGAACTGAGTTCCGGATGAAAAAAAAGCCCTGTTTGTTTGAGACCTCGCACTAGATCCAGACATTAGTCCCTACTAAGCATTCTATGGCTCTCGTAGCAACTGGTGTTTAGGATATGGCAAAACTTGGATAATGTTGCCTCTCCAATTTAATGTCAACATGTCCCTTAGCTGCTGTGTTCTGATCAGACCTACCCACTATGGGGAGGGAATGTGAACTGATGTCGATTTGCTTTAAGAATATATCTCGTATTGGCCTGAATATAAGCCTCACTTTTCTGCCAAATTCTGACTGTGAAAAGTTACACTTATATTCGCAACCTTATGGTATGCAACCAGGAGTGTGGGGCAAACAGTGCCAGGAGCACAGCGAAGTGGCACCCGCCTTATTATTATTATTATTATTATTATTATTATTATTTATACCCCACCCATCTGGCTGGGCCTCCCCAGCCACTCTTGCCGGCTTCCAAAAAAATATTAAAATACATCAAACATTAAAAGCTTCCCAAGGCCGGGAAGGGAGAGAGCACGGCTCCCCCACTCTCAGTATGCAGCCAGGAGCAGCGAGGAATGGAGCGGCTTATATTTGGGTATTTTTTCTTTTTCTCCCTCCAATTTTAAATGTGCAGCTTATATTCGGGCCAATACGGTATATCACACCTTTGTCCAAAAATGTGTATCAGGGCAGTGTATATAAAAAATTAAAACCCACAGCAATTTAAAATGCCTTCCTTGGGGAATGGGGGTTCCAATACAGAGAAGGCACTGTTTTGAACATATATAATGTATTTCTCCTAAAGGTAGTACACAGAGAAGGCCTCCTCTGATGATCTTAATACACAGAAAGGTTGATATGGGAGGAGGCACTCCTTCAGAAATATAAAGGACACCAACCTTTATCTTTTTCCTCCTCCAACCCCTTTCCTTTGGTATCATATTTTTCAGATTGCAAATAAATGTAGTAAATAAATAAATCCCAAACCCTGAGCCCAATTTTAGGTAGGCCTCAGTGCTGCAGCCATCTCCTGTCTAGACTTTTTGGTTGGACTACTGTCAGCTTCAGCAGCTGCCTGCATGTGTCTGCACAGGCCCATGTGGGTGTGAGAATGTGCCAGAGAGCAAGATGAGAGAGGTGACTGCAGCATGTAAGGACCGAGCCCTGTGGAACCCCACATTGAAGGTTCCACAGGGCTGAAAAGCATTCCCCAAGCAATACCCTCTGGGAATGACCACCCAGGTAGGACTGGAATCACTGCAAAGCAGTGCCACACACCCCTCCCCCAGTTCAGACAGTCGCTCCAGAAGGATACCATGGTCAATGGTATCGAAAGCTGCTGAGAGGTTGAGAAGAATTAACAGAGACATATCTCCCTTGTCAAACTCTGCCTCCTCCATCCTTTAGTGACTGGTAAGCCTCAGTAATTTACAGCCCTCTCACATGAACCCTGGAATAGAAAGTTTGAGAACTTCTGATTTAGTCTGTTGGTAGCTGGACAACAATGCAGCATTTTCCATGAAAACTTCTGGATGCAATATACCAGGTTTGTCCAGGAAGATTCAAAAGTCAAAAAAGAAAGAACCTGGGGGTGAGGGGTATTAGCAGTATTTGAGTTAATCTTGAACCTGATAAGAGAAAAGCATATGAATAAATATAGTTCATTCAGCATAATATTTTCTCTATTTTTTCAATCCTCATAGCGCCTTGTGTCCATGAATATGCCACTAAATAGTGATGGGACTGTCATGTTTAATGCAACTTTGTTTGCACTGGTCAGAACAGCACTGAGGATCAAAACAGAAGGTAAGACCCTTAAGGTGCAGTATGATTGTGTGGGATACTATCAAGGCTGGGCCATGGACAGCAGCAGTTTGGAGTGAGTCAGGAACCGGGAGTCAGGACTAAAGACAAATACAGACCAAAGTGCCATTTATATTTAGACAGACATCTAGTGACTGGGGTAAGCAGTTTAGTCACATTTTTTAAGGTATGCTTTTCCCCCCTATAATGACTTATAATTTAATTCATAACAAATTAATTAATTCTTCAGTTTAGGCAGGTGTGCAGTCATGTACAAAATTACCTTATTATAACACCATTCTTTTGTGGCTGGCAGAGATATATGACTTTTCTGAAGGCTGTTCGCACATCCATGTCAGTATGTCAGAATACATGGGTCAAATGTGACAAATATGACTTTGCTTTTACCCTGTTCAAATTAACATTTACAAAGTGGCTGTCAACTAACTTTCAGGATTAATATAGTGATGTAGTAAAGCTAAGTTCATAATACAGAAAACTAGAACTGAGTACACAGTTAATTCATCATACTTCATTATGACTGTGATAATGTTTTATTATGGTTTTATATTTGCTGGAAGCTGCCCAGAGTGGCTGTGGCAACCCAGTCAGATGGGCGGGGTACAAATAATAAAGTATTATTATCATCAATCTAGATCTATTTAAAGTTCATCCATAGCTACAATTGTTGTTACATGAAAGCCTTAAATCTCTAGCTATATAAGAATCACATTATACAAATGTGTTAATAGTAGTCTTGAGTTTTACTTGAAAAGGGTCAAGTTGACCCTAATTGCTAGTGTTTTTGCTGCTCTTGAAACTTCCTCCCGCTGAATGGAGTCTTTATTTGCACTACAGTTTTTCTTCCTGGATGTATCTGTATTCAACATTATAACTATGTTAGACCTGGCTTTATCATTATACGGGGGTGTATTATTTCTAGGGTTATTTCCCCTGTATTTCTCACTCTAAGAATCCCTAGATTGTCTTCACACAACCTTTTTTTTTGGGGGGGTGTAAATAAATTTTTATTGATTTCTTCTTTCCACAATAAGTGATAATTCCACAAATAACATCAAAAACAGGTTTTCCTCCCTTTCCCCATATATACATTTATCCTTTCAACACTATCTCTTGCGAGATTCTTAAAATCTCGCTACTTCCCTCCATTTCCACTTCTGGTTCTTTATATATACCAAATTCTTCTGCATTTCCATATCTATGCTTAACCCATTATTATATCCTTAATTATCCAAATTTCTGGTAAAATTGCAAGAATTTAGTTGAAGCCTGTTAATGTTTCAGCTTGTTTATAATATTTTTGCACATATACAATAAATGTTTCCCACTCTTTTTTAAAATTCTCATTATCATGGTCTCTGAGCTTTGCTGTCAATTTTGCCATCTCTGCATAGTCCATAAGTTTGATTTGCCATTCTTCTTTTGTTGGTATCATTTCTTCCTTCCATCTTTGAGCTAACAGGATCTGGGCTGCTGTTGTGGCGTACATAAATATCCTCTTCTGTTCTTTGGGTAGTTCAGCCCCTATTAATCCTATTAAGAAAGCTTCTGGTTTTTTTTAACAAAAGACATTTTGATATTTTTTTTTCAATTCATTATAAATCATTTCCCAGAAAAACAAATACTTTTGAGGAAACAATACATATGTGCTAAGGAATACTCCTCTCTCAGTTTCTGGGAAATGAGAGAGAAGTAATCCTTAGCACATATGTATTGTTTCCTCAAAAGTATTTTTTTATGGTAAAATGCACAAGCTCACAGCAGTGTTGGGTGGCTGTAGTAATTTGTAATTTTGAAAAGATAATCTCACAGAAGTTTTAGGATTTTTTTATGAGTGCAGATCCCAAAATCTGCTCTGTGCATAACCAGAAGGGAGAACATTTGTAAGTCAGTGAGTTGTTGTTTAGTCGTTTAGTCGTGTTTGACTCTTCGTGACCCCATGCCAGGCACTCCTGTCTTCCACTGTCTCCCACAGTTTGGTCAAACTCATGCTGGTAGCTTCGAGAACACTGTCCAAACATCTTGTCCTCTGTCGTCCCCTTCTCCTTGTGCCCTCCATCTTTCCCAACATCAGGGTCTTTTCCAGGGAGTCTTCTCTTCTCATGAGGTGGCCAAAGTCTTGGAGCCTCAGCTTCAGGATCTGTCCTTCCAGTGAGCACTCAGGGCTGATTTCCTTAAGAATGGATAGGTTTGATCTTCCTGCAATCCATGGGACTCTCAAGAGTCTCCTCCAGCACCATAATTCAAAATCATAAATTCTTCGGCGATCAGCCTTCTTTATGGTCCAGTGAGTAGGTAGTATTTAATACTACACCATTTCAGTCAAATCTATCCCCAATCTGAAGAAAGGAGTTGGGGGTTCCTTACTAGGATGTACGCAAGTGGGGATTTCCCTGCTGCATTCTGCCCCCACCACATTCCAGCCTGTTCCGCCCCCTTTCGATGCCAAAAACTGTGTGTGTGTGCAGTCACATGTGACTTGAACTCACACGAGTGTGTTGCCTGTATCATCTTTTTTTGTCCTCCCCTAACATTAAGCGGTTTGGACTCTGTTATGGTAGAAATCAATAAAATCATACGTACTGACCTTCCATTTGACCTGTTATTTATTCTGTTTGGATTTACAAAATGCTAGGTGAAAATGTGAAAATGGTAACTCACCTTTCAATAGCAGCAGTAGAAAAAGACAACCCTGCTTTCATTGATTAGCGGTGTCTGAAGGTATCAGATATGGCTTACTCAGTCAAACTGACTAATATGATAACAATTAGAGAAGGGAGACAGCAAAATGTGTATTTATTGATAAATAGAGTTTCTTTACCATGTTTTAAGGTGGATTTAAGCAACAGTGCTTGTGTTCTGTGAACTTTGCTTTTGCAATTAATACTGCAAGCTTTGCAATATATAGTTACATAACTGCATATACAGTGGTATCTCGGGTTACATACGCTTCAGGTTACATACACTTCAGGTTACAGACTCCGCTAACCTAGAAATATTACCTCGGGTTAAGAACTTTGCTTCAGGATGAGAACAGAAATCGTGCTCCAGCAGCGCGGCGGCAGCAGGAGGCCCCATTAGCTAAAGTGGTGCTTCAGGTTAAGAACGGACCTCTGGAACAAATTAAGTACGTAACCAGAGGTACCACTATATTATTATGTACATCTTGTATATTCACCAAAAAATAAATAAATAAAATGCATGCCCTTCTGCTTTATCCACATGCAGTTTCTCACACCATGCTATGCAGGTCATAAAAGCCAGCAAAAAGGTTTTTTCCCTTCAAATTTTTGTACAGGCTTAATTGTGTTTGCTAGAATCAAAGATGTTTCTGAGAGACTTGTCTTAAAATTACTTCTCGGGCTACTGTTTCTTCTGGCAGGTAACTTGGAGCAAGCAAATGAAGAGCTGCGTGCAATAATTAAAAAGATTTGGAAGCGCACCAGCATGAAGCTGTTGGATCAGGTTGTGCCCCCAGCAGGTGGTGAGCACACCTTTTTTCTGTATTTAATACTGAAGGACAAAGCAATATTTTTCCATGCAAAGAAATATTATTTATGATGGCGATGGCTAGACAAGTACTGTAATAGCCAAGAACGGGAAATGACAAGCTGAACCTCTGGTACATGAGTATTAGTGAGTAGAAATCTGCATTAACAGAAAAAATTACAAAACAGTTGAGAGCAGCCAAACAGATATAGACAACTTTATTGAAAAAATGTATTTTTCTTACTACTTTTGGAAACAAAAGCAGAACACTATGTAAGGCATTTAGATACACATGACAAACTCTGATGTGCATTTTAGGATAAGATATATGAAAAGCTACTCCCTATTGTTATCAGTTATACACTTAAATAAGTACACTGATATGTATACAATCTCCCTTTCTACCTACCATTATTTGTTCCTCTTTCTATTCTGCTTACATGTTAAACATGGAACAATAAAATATATATTTTTTAATACTCTGTAACATGCTCTGTAATTACTTGGAAAAGAGAAGCCTAGCTTCTCTTTACAGTATATGAGAATAACTACTTGCCTGGCTGGACATTACCACCAGTAAATAACTATGCCCTGGTGAATGAGAAATCAACAAATAAATATAATTGTTTTCAGCTTCTTCTATGCTTTTAAACTTAGATGATGAGGTAACAGTTGGAAAGTTTTATGCTACATTCCTGATTCAAGAGTATTTCCGAAAATTCAAGAAACGCAAAGAACAGGGCCTTGTTGGCAAACCTTCACAGAGGAATGCTCTTTCCCTCCAGGTAAGAAAAGATATTGCTTAATATTATGCTACTGATCCACCACATCCACCATTTCCATAGTCTTTCCACCAAAGATATAAACCAACGAATCTCAAACTGTGGGAACATTGGGGAGGTACAACATCCTATTTGATGAGTCCCAGACCTAATTTTAAATGTATTCTGACTAAAACCCCATTGAATGCCAGCTTTATGCCCCTCCAAGACATGGCTATACCAGGTATCCTTTTGTGTACTTTTTATTGATTGTGCTCAGCTCCTGCAGAACAAGCTTTGATTTTTCACAGGCTTTTCATTTCTATGATACCTTAATACAGTGTTTCCCAACCGGTGTTCCGCGGCACACTACTGTGCCGTGAGACATTGGCTGGTGTGCCGTGGGAGGGAGGCGGGCGAGTCGGGCGGTGAGAGGCGGCGGCAGCGAGGATCCGCGTCGAGCCGGGGGCGGCTCCGCGGTGGTGGTGCCGAGCGGCGGGGCAGCGCGTGCAAAAGGGAGGAGCGCGAGACAGCGGAGGAGGAGGAGGCCGGCATGTCCGGGCAGCAGCAGCAACAACAGCAGCAGCAACTCCCGGCGACGGCTCCTCAAGCCCCGCCGCCGCCCCCTCCTCCGCCCGCTATCGCCGCCACCACCACAACAGCCGCCGCCGCCTCAGTTGCCGCCGTCCCTCAGTCCCTCGCTCTGCTGCCTCCTCCCACCCCCAAAGCTTGGAGGTTCCCCGGCAAGGGGGAGGGAAAAAACTTTCACTTTCGTGCGTCCCTCCCGGCGTGACGCTGCGCGCTGACGTCACGGGGCGGGGCTTTAATGGTGGTGTGCCGTGAGATTTTTTTTCAGTAAACAGGTGTGCCGTTGCCCAAAAAAGTTTGGGAAACACTGCCTTAATAGACACTCCCATTTATCTAAACCACTGAGCCTCTTGGGCTTGCCGATCAGAAGGTCGGCAGTTCGACAGGGGCGAACAAAGGTGTCATGACACCTGGGGCGGCAAACCACTATGTGCGGTGCATGTGTGGCGTTGCTACATACGCCGTACATAGTGGGTTGCTGGTGGCAGTGCTCCAGCGCCGTATGGACGGTGCCGGGATCCTCTGCTTGCAGCTGCAGCTGCAAATGGAGAATCCTCCATTCGTGGCGGTAGTGGCGATGGAAGGATCCCACCCGCCGTCCGTGCAGCGCCGGCGGCAAACCACTATGTACAGTGCTTGTGCGGCGGCGTTAAATACAGCGCATGCATGTGGCACCACACATGCACTGTACATAGTGCTTTGCTGCAAGCTCCAGGATCCTCTGCTTGCAGCCGTGAATGGAGGATCCTCCACATGCGGTGGCGCGATGGCTGCTTGAGCCCCCGCGGGGTGCCTTCTTGTCACCCCCCCCCCGACATGGCACCCAAGGCACACTGCCCCCCCCATTGCAACGCCACTGCAGTTCAAATCCACACAATGGGGTGAGCTCCTGTTGCTTTGTCCCAGCTTCTGCCAACCTAGCAGTTTGAAAGCATACCAGTGCAAGTAGATAAATAGGTACCGCTGCAGTGGGAAAGTAAATGGTGTTCTGTGTGCTCTGGCACTTGTCACATTCCTCCATGCACCAGTAGCGATTTAGTCATGCTGGCCACATGACCTGAAAAGCAAATGCTGGCTCCCTCAGCCTGAAAAGCGAGATGAGCACCGCACCCCATAGTCGCCTTTGACTGGACTTAACTATCCAGAGGTCTTTTACCTTTTTTACCTTTATCTACTCCAATATTAGAATAAGCTTCTGCAGTCATGTAGTTTGCCAGTTTTTGCTTAAAAGTGAAAACTGAAACTAGCTTCTAGCAATGGAGAGGCGAGAAGAGGCTACTTATGCCCTTCCTTGCACAACAGCTTTGCAATGTATGCCAGTTGCATCCCCAACTGTCTGGTTGCTGCCACCACACTCCCTATTAACCGCTATAAGTCCCAGGTAAGTGAAATCTGGGAGGTCAGATAAATTGCTTCTAAAGGGACACTGTCCTGGCCCTTGCTGCCAGATTAAGAACTCAAACTTGGGTTTCTGTTTCTTCCAAACTACATAATGCACAAATCTATTATATATAGAAATGGCTAAGCATGAATTGAAATGTTGATCCAATAAATTCTACAGCCCTGCCTCTTCCTTTTGAAAAGCAGGATGGGAGCAAGCCTTAGCATGGCAAAAGACAGGCATTTCTCCTCTGGGTAGGCAATGAGGAACTTCTGTGAGTGGGCGCCAGCATCTGCATAACCATGACAAAAGAGATGCGGACTCAGTATCCAACTTATTCTCCAGCAGATAATTCCTCACTAACAGAATATACTACACACTTGATCTTAGCCAAAAGGCCGAGAAGCGAATATAATTATAATATAACAGAATATAATTTTGTCTTCCATTCTGTACCCTCGCTTTGCACCCATTTCCCTCCCTCTCCTTTCCCTTCCCTCCTCTGCTTGTCCACACTGCTTGCACAGACCATGACCATGGTAACCTCCTTCATCCTCCTCCTCCTCCAGGAGTGAATCACTCACACAAAATGGTTGCTACTTGTAGTTGCATGGGGTGGGAAGGGGATCCTGTAGGGGTATAATGTGGAGGAAGTGGCAGTGGGGTTGGCAAGTGGAGCAAGCAAGGACGCAACCGCTAGTTAAGAATAACAAAGAAGGAAGAGGGAAAACAGATAAAGCAGAATATTTAAAATAACAGGAACTTGTTGGTTCAAAGCTATCTAACCTAATTATGTGACTTACAAAAAAGGCTTCTGTTCTAGTGAACAATGCAGTGTAGATGCCAGCTGCAGAGTGTTATGATGGTCAATGAGGGACAAGAGACCCTGATGTGAAGGATCCCGATATAAATGGCCAAAACCTGCATGGGCACAGTCCATGTTTTAAGGTTTTCCTTTCCATATTGGGTTGAGTGACAGCTAGCACTTTTTTAGCCAGAGCACAGGTCACATCTGCAAACACCTTTAGGGAAGTTGGGGGAGATGGTAGTCATCTCCTGGGAATATGGGGAAGTGCCTATCTGAGGAACTGATATTTCTTGATGTTGTTGCCAGACTGAACTTGGTGTGTGCTTTTGTACTGGAAGTTGTTATGCCTGGTTCATTCAAGCAAAATGTAGGGCAAGAGAGCAGAGCTTTTCTCCACATGTCTTACTTACTAAGGAGAAATAACTAGGTTAAAATTCAAGTTCCATATTGGATTTTTTATATAGATTTTTGGTATAGGACCTCAAGAGTAGCTGGTGAGAGACATGCAGCTGAGCTGGAGCTACCAGCTCAAACCTGCTGAGTTTCTGAGCTAGAATAGGCTTATTTCCTCCTAAGGTAAGGGGAAGTGACATAGCTAAGCCTGACAGGACAGCTTACTCTATGACATTGACTCCTTCACGCATTAATTAGACTAACCGCATTTTTCGCCCTATAGGACGCACTGTCCCATAAGGCGCACCTAGTTTTTTGGGGGGGAAATAAAGGGGGGGAAATTTATTTTTCCCCAGGCCGGGCTCCCGTGCCTTGTGGAGAGCTGTGCGAAGTCTGGAGAGCGAGAGGGGTCGGTGCGCACCGACCCCTCTTGCTCTCCAGGCTTCAGCGAAAGCCTGCATTCACCCCATAGGACGCACACACATTTCCCCTTCATTTTTGGAGGGGAAAAAGTGCGTCCTATAGGGCGAAAAATGTGGTAAGTCCATTGGCTATATGAGGCTGGTCACCCCACCACCACAACATCCCATTTCATTGAGGCTCAGTAGCTCTTAGGTGCCCAGTTCCAAGTAAGTTTCACTATTTTTTCTCTAACCTACTGATGTGCTAAATTATACTATTTTACAGGCTGGTTTGCGCACATTACATGATATTGGACCAGAAATTCGACGGGCAATCTCTGGAGACTTAACAGCTGAAGAAGAATTAGACAAGGCCATGAAAGAAGCTGTTTCTGCTGCCTCTGAAGATGATATTTTCAGAGTAAGTACTTTTCTAAAAACCTCCATTGGCCTATGGAATTAGATCATATTCTAACATATCAAATCACAAAAATCAAATAAATCTGTTATATCCAACAAGAAGCAATGTCCCCTGATTCTGTCAGATCAATAATTAAGGTTGGTTGTTTGGGGGGTGGATTGCTTCTTTAGGTTTAACAATGTACTAGGGAGCAGCTGGGGGACGCGGGTGGCGCTGTGGGTTAAACCACAGAGCCTAGGACCTGCCGATCGAAAGGTCGGCGGTTCGAATCCCCGCGGCAGGGTGAGCTCCCGTCGTTCAGTCCCAGCTCCTGCCAACCTAGCAGTTCGAAAGCACCCCAAAAAGTGCAAGTAGATAAATAGGGACCGCTATCCAGCGGGAAGGTAAACGGCGTTTCCGTGTGCTGCGCTGGTTCGCCAGCTGCGGCTTAGTCACGCTGGCCACGTGACCCAGAAGCTGTCTGCGGACAAGCGCCGGCTCCCGGCCTTTTGAGCGAGATGAGCGCGCAACCCTAGAGTCAGTCACAACTGGCCCTGATGGGCAGGGGTACCTTTACCTTTAAGGAGCAGCTTGTCTGCACTTCTCTCTCTCCCTAGATTGGTGTCAACAAGATGAAACCTCATTTACTTCTCTCCTTAGATGGCAGTTAATTATGGAGGTTTAAAATTTGTCTTGCTTAATGTAAATGGCCTTAGGGACCCTATAAAGCCTGCACAAGTTGCCACTGCCCTGATATAGTTATGCTTCAGGAGGTATATCAGTGAAGGAAGTCTACTCAGTGGCTGTTAAAAAGCACCTGGATTGATGACTAGCTCTGCTCTTTTGGGAGGATAGCATGTCAACAGCACGAGCCATTTGGATGTTCCAGAAGTAGGTCAGGGCTTTGTGGTGCATCTTGGGACAGCCTTAAAATGGGATTAAACAAATTCATGGAGAATTAAGCTATCAATAGCTATTAGCCATGAGAGCTTATGTTCGACCTCCACTGCCAGGGGCAGTATGCCTCTGAACACCAGCTGCTGAGAATCATAAATGGGAGAGTGGTTCCCTTCATGTCCTGCTTGAAATATTGGTGAAAATAATGACCATGCCTCATTTCAAACAATACTGCATGCATGCATAAAATAAATACATTGGAAGTGTCTATTTGACCCACTCACTAAGAATATGTTTTTGATTTTGTTCACAGAGAGCAGGTGGCTTGTTTGGAAATCATGTCAGTTACTACCAAAGTGATGGCAGAAGTTCATTCCCTCAGACATTCACCACTCAGCGCCCTTTGCACATCAATAAATCTAGCAGCAATCAGGGAGACACTGAATCCCCATCCCATGAGAAGCTTGTGGATTCCACTTTCACTCCAAGCAGCTACTCATCATCCGGCTCCAATGCTAACATCAACAATGCCAACAACACTGCCTTGAGTCGCTTCCCCAGCCCACCAAGCTACCCCAGCACTGTCAGTACTGTGGAAGGCCATGGCACCCCTCTATCACCCACTGCACGGATCCAAGAAGTTCCTTGGAAGCTTGGCTGCAGAAGGTAAAGAACAGTAACTGTAGCAGTACTTCTATTATTTCCTATAAATATAGGGATATTTATATTTTGCATTCGTGCCCCTCCTTTGCTCTTTGCACATTTGTAGGCCATCCATATATGTGAAGAGCCACACAGGTCCCAGCCTAATATATGATCTAGGGCAGTGTTTCCCAACCGGTGTTCCGCGGCACACTAGTGTGCCGCGGAACGTTGCCTTGTGTTCCGTGGGAGGGAGGCGGGCGAGTCGGGCGGCGAGAGGCGGGGCGGCGAGCGAGCTCCCTCCCACATCCCATCGCCGCTCGCTTCGGCCGGCCTACTGGAGGAAGGCGCGAAAACCTCGCGCATGCGCAGGCCTTCCGCCTGCGACAGCCCAGTAGGCCGGCCGAAGCGAGCGGTGATGGGATGTGGGAGGGAGCTCGCTCGCCGCCCCGCGTGTGCTCGCCGCCCGACTCGCCCGCCGCCCTCCCACGGCACACCAGCCTACCTCCGTGGGAGGGAGGCGGGCGAGTCGGGCGGCGAGAGGCGGGGCGGCGAGAGGCGAGGAGAGGCCGCCCAGCGCGGGGCTCTCGCCGTCTGCCTGCCTGGCTGCCTGCGAGCTCGGCGGGCAGCGCTTCCGCCCGCAGCGCCCGCCTCGCGGCTCTCATTCCCTGCCCCTGCCAAAGCTCACCCAGCCAAGCCGCGCTCTCCTTCCTGCCTCGCTTTGCTGCCTCCTCCCCCCCCACCCCCAAAGCTTGGAGGTTCCCCGGCAGGAAGGAGGGAACTTAATCCTCTCCAAGGGCTGCGGAAAACAGACATGCAAATGGGGGCTTGCCAGCTCTTCAAGCGCCGCCGGCTTTCTTCGGGAATTACCGCCCGCCGAGCCCGGTAACGCTGACAGGCCGAGCCGCGGGGCTTGGCAGCGCAGCCGGCAGAGTGTGGGAAAGGGCGGCCGCCACGCGCCGGGCAAGGCGAGACTCGACGGGGAGGACACCGGCAGCAGCGCCCCCCCCCAGAAACCCGCTCCGGGCAGGTAATTCACAGAGAGTGGACAGAAGGAAGCCTTAAAGGGCTTCAGCCTCCCAGAGTGGCGGGGAATAATAATAATAATAATGATAATAATAAAATTGACAGGGGGTGTTTTTCTAGGTGAGGGGGTGGGGACTGTAATAACAAAAAAATCAGCTCTATATCAACCGCTGTTTTGCAATGAGGAATTGCAAATAAGGAAGATCAAAAGGAGAATGTTTTTTGGGGGGGGACTCTCTTCCTCTTCCTCCTCCTCCTCTCGTTCTTGCTCCTCTTCCTGGCAAAAGGGCTGCTGAGACCCCTTCTCTCTTGGGTGCCGGTGGGTGCTGTGACGTTGACGCTGCTGTGGCAAGTGCCTTTACTTAGCAGAGTGCATTCCCCTTTACACAGGAGGGGAGGGAAAAAAATTGAAACTTACACTTTCGTGCGTCCCTCCCGGCGTGACGCTGCGCGCTGACGTCACGGGGCTGTAATGGTGGTGTGCCTCGAGATTTTTTTCATCAAACAAGTGTGCCTTTGCCCAAAAAAGGTTGGGAAACACTGATCTAGGGAATGAAATAATAACCATAGGGAACAAGACTTGAGAGAGTTTGTGTTTCTCAAATAGAGATGAAATGAACATTATTGTCTAGTAGAAAAGTATTAGTACAACAACTAAGCATCTGCTGTAAAGATGATTTGACACCTCTGCTTTGAATTGATGGAAAGTGAGCCTGCTAACATAGCCCTGTTGCTAACATAGCCCTGTCATAGTACACTGGGCAACATTTTGGCAAATGCAATGTGTTTCAAACTCATATTTTTAAAAATCTCAGTGTTTAGCAATAAAGTCCTTGGTTAATTTTAGAGAGCATTTAAGAAATGGTAGTTATCATTCATATTATAACTCATTCTTTGATTTTCAGATGAGTTTACATCCATTTACATAAATATAACTAAGTCTAGAGCAGTCAAGTTTCTTTTGCAAGACAAATGCTTTTGCAAGAACTAGTATTGTTCTATTTTTCTACTTTTTCCTGCAAATCCAAAAGAAATCCAAATATATTTTATTTATTTTTCCTTTCCATCTATATTCCTGATTTGATCTTCTTTTCCTTCCTATACTTCCCTGAAGAACTAGGACACATTACTATGAAACACTGGGGCGGTAGGTCTTTCTCTTCCTGCTCTTAACATACTTGGGATATAAGTTACTTTATAGACTGATTTTAATTATAAACTATTTATTTTCAGTACTGACAGACCTAGTGAGAGAGCAAGAGATCACATCACTGAACAAATAAATGATTACCGTAATTTGTTGTAATGTAGGGCATAGACTTACAATAAATTAATTTGAATGAGTTATGCAGAGCACTTATAAGTCATTTTGTAACTAATTCTGCGTGCTCAGGTCAAACTACAAACTATGTGGGAGAGCCGTGACTGGTCTTCCAACTTTCTTTGAAAAATTACAGAAATGTGCTTGTATGTTCAAGCACAGTGAATCTGCTGCCTGGTGCCTTATGAACATGAAAGAAATACCATACACAGGACTACGTTCTTAGATCAAAACAGGCCACAACTTTATTGATTACAGATCTAAGTGGACTTTGGCCTGGGCATTGGGTGATTATCAGTTCAATCAGCCCACCTGGTGGCAGTCAGCAGAATGCTGTGCTGGATGAGGATGTGTCCCCTTTTTAACCCTGGGAAGCAAACCTAAGTGGAGACTGCAGGCAGTCTCCAGTTGGCTCTGCTGCTCAAGTGATGCTTCCCAAAGCCTGTCTGTGATTCGCCAATTTCACAGGCAGGCAAATTCAAATTAAATTCCTTTTTAAAAAATATTGAATAGTAGTTGTGGGGAACTCCTCATCTATTCAGAGTGGCACCAGAGCTGGAATAAATGTTTGACCTTTCACCTGTGCTGTTTGCTAGAATAACACCCAGAGAGAGAGAGCTGTAATTTGCCTTGTGGAGACAAATAGTGACTTATACTTTACACCACAAAAGGCAAATAGTAGCTTTGAGGGGCATTCAAAACAGTGTAGGAATATTACAAATCCCTCCTGCCCCACTACTGCTCTGAACAATTTGTGGTCTCCTGTGACTTCATTTAAGGTCTTATTCTTTTAAAACTGGGAGACATATCATGAATCTCCAGCATACCATATAATCTGGTCCCCCCAAGTCTTTTTTTCTGCCCTTTCAATGCATTTTTAAGTATGAAATGGTTAGTCCAGTCTGATTCAGTGGTGATGAGTTCAAAATAATGCTGTTATTTCACATTAACGTAGAAAGATTTTATTTTTCCACCAAATACTGATAACTGATAAATGTAAAGTAACAGTAATAGGAAACGGCTTAAGTAATCAATATAGGTTGTGGACACCAATTACAGTTTACCTTTGCTTTATAGGCAAGTTCTTCAGCAGTTATATCTCAGGATAGCATCAACAGGGGAAAGTGTCATATGTTCATATATAAGCCCTGAATAAGCTACATAAACATTTGCTTGATCAATCAGTTTGTATCTCAGGTCTGTTTCTCCAAGCTTCTACAGTTAAGATTGCAGTGTTGTATCTTGGAGTTTATTTATTTAATATATTTATTTATATACCACTTCCTAAGTTCCTAAGTTGTGGTTTAAAAAGTTATCACTTTAGCGTGCTTTTGGGAAGTGACGCAAAAGTTCTATTTCAGAAGTATGGACAAGCATCACGAACATGAAGCCTAAAGTACATGCTTTTTGTCCCCACCCTCACCCATCTCAAAATTTCCATGTTAATTCTGACAAAGTTAAGGGCTATGCGTAAGGACTGCATCACACTTTTCTCATAATTTATGTTTTGTGTGTTTTCTTTGAATGGATGTGTTATAAAATAATGCAAAAGGAATATGTGTTTCTACATTGCCTTCACTATTTCTATTTCTCTTATATTCCTTAGATCCTGTTCCAGAGACAGTCAGGTGGCTATTGTTTGTGAGGAGGAGACTTGTCAAGAGGAAGAGAAATATGATGAGCAACTGAATGAAGAAATTGAGTACTGTGGTGAACCAAAGCTGGTACCAACTGAAATGTGAGTATTTTGCTATTGCAGCCAAGTAGGGGTTGTTAGGTTTGTGGGAGGGGGGCGTCCTGCAACTCCAAACTCATAAAGCAAAAATCCCAGAGTTCCCATGTATTTCAAGCAAGGGAGTGGGGCTAAGAGTATACTTACACTAACATTTTTCTCCATCCAACCATAGCACAGTTTGACCCTAGACTCTTATCCTAGCTTCCAGTCCTAATAGCACAAATCATCCTACGTGTTGCAGGATGGGACAATATATTTCCAATCTGTACTAACTCATACCTCAAATAGGAGCCATGTCCTCATTTGAAGCTAACTTGTCCTTTTCCATTACAGGCTCTCATGTAAAGATGATGAACACAGACAGTTAACTCCACCTGAAAACAACATTAGATACTCTCCAAAGAGTGGGTTCCTGCATTCCTCATCACTAAGTAATAATTCCAGCTTCATATGACAAACATGAAATGATATCTCTTCAGATTTTCTAACCGCAAGCATTTTTACTACATGGGCGTGTTGGGAGTACTGGGGTTCAGCCAATTTGAAAAACATTGGCACCTACAAAAAATATTCTGCAGCTGTGGGAATTGTTAGGCTGCCTGTTTTAACTTTTTCAAAGCAGAATAGTTCTAATTCTCTCAAATAGCAAATGGGGTTGTAAACCTTTCTCAACTGTACTACTTATACAACAGGTACATAGTCCAATGACAGAATATTTCACTACCCCCCAAAATACCCTTTAAAAATTCTGACATATGTAAAACTAGGCACGCTAGGGAGAAAGATAGATTGGAACCCTTCTATCAGACAGCATGTTTTCTTTCTTCAGTGATTCCCCATCCAAACATTATGTCAGCCTCCACCTGCATTTTGATGTAGTACAGTCCAGACACAGGTTTGCCATCTCAGTGTGATGCAGGCCAAAAATCACATCTCATATAAAAGAGATGTGATCGGTCTCCAACCTGTATCTGAATGTGGCAGCAGGAAGGAACCAACTGAAAATGCTTAACCTTTTCTGTATTTGCTGATTTTCTCCTGCATATCCACCCCCTTTTTCTTTCCAATCAGGCTTATTTCCAGTCTCGGATTCTAAATGGGGTAAAAGGGTGCTAAAAACAAAAAGAGTTGCAAGAGATCAGTGGTGTGCAGGAAAATATTGTGCATCTGCCTCTACCTGCCTGTTCTCCTCTGCAAATACCCTACCCCTTTATTAGTGATACAAGGCAAATATACAAATAAGAACCTATGTTTGCATCATAAAATGTTACATGAAGTTCCACCCCTAATTGTGTTATGAAAGCAGCTTAAAATATTATCACACTTCTGTGCAACTGGCTTTGCAGGTCGAAGAGCATCCTTTCATCTGGAGTGTCTTAAGAGACAGAAAAATCAGGGTACGGAAGTCCCACAGAAGACAGCAGTGCCCTTGCATGTGGTACATCATCAGGTAAGCATTCATCAGTGAACATCTAACTATGGGATCACACTCTCACTAGGTATGCTTCTGAACTCAGCTGTTTCTGGATTGGGGACAGACAGCAATGGCCAGAAATGCTGATTTATCAATTACGTCTTATATGCCACCTGTACCTTCCTGAAAAACAAGAGTTTAGCAATTACTGTTGCCTTGGTGATCTTTCAGTTCAATTGTTGCATTGTACTGTATATAATCCAAAACGTTCGGAAACCAAAGTGCAGCTTCCTGCAGCCAACCAGAAGCCCTGTCGGACATTTGGCTTCCAAAATAGTTTGCAAACCCGAACAGTCACTTCTGGTTTTGTGGCGTTTGGGAGCCAAAACGTTCGATAACTATGCTGTTCGAAAACCAAGGTACAACTGTATATGCAGAGTAAAGAAGTATTTTCTTTTGTCTCTCTTGAATCCCCCTACATTCAGCTTCATTGGATGACCCCAGGTTACAGTATTATGAGAAAGGGAGAAGGGTTTTTCTCCCTGTCCATTTCTACCATATGCATAATTTCATACAACTCTACCATATACTCTTCTATTTACCTTAAGAAACCTTTTTTCTAAGTCAGCTTGTACAGTTTATTTTCTCATATTATGATTCAACTTGCAGCCATCATCATGTACAATGTTCTCCTTTCTCTCTATCTATAGGCACTAGCAGTTGCAGGCCTGAGTCCTCTTCTTCAAAGAAGCCATTCACCCCTAAGATCATCTCGGTCATGTGCCACACCCCCTGCCACACCCTGTATACAAGATTGGTTACAGCAGCCTATTAAAACCTTGCGGCTTGAAGGAGAGGAATCCAATGAGAAACTCAATAATAGCTTCCCATCAATACATTGCAGCTCCTTGTATTCTGATAGCCCCAGCTCTAGCAGCACTCGAAAAGCCAGGCCGGTCTCCCTCACAGTTCCCAGTCAGACCAGAGAGTGTGGCAGACAATTTCACGGCAGCGCTAACAGCCTTGTTGAAGCGGTAAGTTGATGTGGTATTGGTAACTGATGTAACAATCATGACACTTATGGAGATCAGGCTCCAAAGTTACATGTATTCTATGCAATACATTATATTTCATGGACACAAATATAGGAGGTTAAGCTTACTTTTCCTTTAGATGAATCCAAAACTCTTACAATTCTTAGATAGACCATTAATCTGAACAAGATCACCAGTTTTTATCCCAGTCATGCAGTTTTTGAGATCCCTGTGAATTCTTTGCCTTTTACAAAAGTAATTAACAGTAAATGTATGGAAGGAAAATAATTCCTTATGTAGGATATAAAGTTTGTCAAATAGAAACAGGGAGGTTGGGCCTGAGGGCAGGGGTTTATTAAAATGTTTACGTAATTGTCCAAGGCCGTTAATATCCCCACTATTATAGCCTGCCCTCTTGATCAAGATTGCTATTCTATTCCTATAACCAGAATGTTCTATAAAGCAAAAGCTTTATCTGCTAGCACAAATATACAGAAGTGTAGTTTAATAAAATTACAGTTATTAAATGAACTAAACTGCATTTGTACTGTAGGCAGGAAGCTGTCAGGAGATACGTTAGCATGTAGCATCTCTGGCAGAAATGGCCAGTAGTGTAGGTTTGAAGCAAGAGAAACCCCCCAAAAAATTTTTTCTAAATACTGTGAGTATTTCACTTTATTTATCTATACTAGCAAGTGAATAAAACAAAATTGGCTCAAAGTGCAATCCTAACCATGTCTCCTCAAAAGTAAGCCCAAGTGAATTCAATGGGACTTACTCCCAAGTAAGTGGGTTAGGATTGCAGCCTTTGATCCTAAATTGCTGTTCAGTTTATGTTGGGGGGGGGGAATATTTTTGTCAATTCAGCAACCCCACAACACCATATTCAATACCATTCCCAATCCCTACAATCAGATTTTCAGGGGTGCTGCAGACTGAAGAGGAAGGGGATAATGGGAAAGCCTTATTACATTAACTGCTCCATTCATAGAAGGAAAGATAGGGCCCAAGCCATTGTTCTATAAAGCCAGGTTTACCCATCAAATTATTACTGTCTGTTATTTCCACAGATTGCTTTGGCTCTTGTTATTATATTAAAATTGATTTCTGCTTTTCTTTCTTGTGTTTGATCTCCTGGCTCTTTAAAGGTCTTGATTTCGGAAGGCCTGGTGCAGTTTGCTCAAGATCCAAAGTTCATTGAGGTCACAACCCAAGAGCTGGCTGATGCTTGTGACTTGACGATAGAAGAAATGGAGAATGCTGCTGACAACATTCTCAATGGTAACAGCAAGCCAAGCCCCAATGGCAACCTCTTGCCTTTTGTTAACTGCAGGGACCCAGGGCAGGACTGTATGGGAGAGAAAGAGGAAACAGCCCAGAACCCAGATTGTAGAAAAAGTCAAGAGGAGCCTAAGGACAGCAGGATTTATATCAGCAGCCTGTAGTTGCCAAGGCTGAAAGTGATGCTGGTTTTTTAATTTGTTTCAATGTTCCTAATGGGTTTGTTTCAGAAGTGCCTCACTGTTCTCGTGACCTGGAGTAACCAGAACAGCGTTCTTCATTCATTTCCGTCAGGAAGAATTGCAGAGTTGGGTGGTGTAAAAGAGCTTTTCAGGAGTGAATATACAACCCCAGCATGTGTCCATGAAGGAAGAATGGCGACAAGTAAAAGGAGGAGAGTCAGATCCCTCCTTTTCTCAGTCCCTGCACAAGGAACAACAGCTGCTTCCTGAATGTGATGGAAAACCTCAGCTTCCTGTGAATGGCCCTAGCCAAAAGGACACTGCATCAAACGGGTGTCTTTCAACTTTGCTTGTACAAAAAAGAATCATTTTGCACATATTCTGTATGAGCCTCACCATCTCCATAAAGCCAAGGCCCTTTTGATCTGCAAGTGGAATAGAAGACTTCAGCAACAGATCCCCCCACTTTGCTGAGGAAGAGGAGTTGGAGGAGGAAGCAGAAGTGGCAATGGTACAGGAGATGTAGATGGCAATATTGCAGATGCTTATTAATGGAAATGCAGAGACTCCTAGGCAGACTTCTCTGCCAGTCAATCAGAGCTCAGGCAGTCTACTCTGCCAACCAATCAGAGCTCAGACAGCTAGCTGTGCCAACTGCTCAAGGAGCAGGAAGCCAGCTCTGTCAAACCGGAGTTCAGGCAACCCGCCCATTTCAAAGAGATGTGGTGATGGGCTAATGTAGATCTCTCCTTGTTTTTGCTGTTTGATATTTTATTGAAAGCATGTTCTAATTTTTATTTTTGAATACTTTATTTTATGGTATTTTATTTTTTGAGGGAGGGGGTGAACGGAGTGTTTACAAAGTTTTGTAATCACCTAACTTTTTGTTTTCTTTCTCACCTTTGCAAATGTTTAAAATTGGTTTGATTTGATTATGTTGTACTATTTAATTATTATTTTTTTGTTTCCCTCCATTGAAATTTGGGTAGAAACTAATAATGATATTAGAAGAGTTTTGCCAACCATTATGTACACCAGAATTTGTAATTTTATTTGAAGTAATGGAAAACTCCTTTTTGTTGTTGTTTTATAATTTAAAGATAGTAGGCAATGCACTTGATATAGTCTTGCACATATGAGTGATCGATTTGGATTCTTTATAGTGGTAGGTATATTTGCGGGTGTGTGAATGAGTGAACAGGACTGAATGAGAGAGTGAATGCATGCCTGAAAGTTTGTAAGTTCATACAGTTCTCCACTTCCTGGTATAACTGCAGGAGAGCTGTATCTGGGGTCATGTGAGTGTAAAAATATACCACTGTCTCTGCTTTTGAAAGGGGAATCAGTAACTCTTTGCATTTTCTGTTCCACAAGATATGCAAAAACAATGCAATAATATTAATTTTGAATACAATTTGTGAATTGTGTTGGCATTAAAACTGTATAGAAAAACAAAACAAGGGAATTAAAGAAAACAAAAAAAAACCACACAAGTGAGAAGGAGTTACGTTTCGATATATTCTGTGTGATGTTTTATTGCATTGATGATGTTTCTGTTGAAGAAACCGTAATACTTGAATTCAGGTCAGTTTCAGTATTTTTCAACTATTTTTTTAAAATGAATTGCAATTGTGCCAAGCAAATATGATGAATTAAGTTTGTTTAAGGGGAAAATAACAATTCTTGTATATTTTGCTGCATGTAAAGTAAATCATTTCGTATTTGGAGTGTGCCAAGCTTTACCTTTGAACTTTTAAGTGCTTTTCTACATGTGGTTGGGGGGAAAGGGTATACGATTTTTCCCTTTTTTAATTTGTACAATGAACAAAGTGTACCTGGTGTTAAGTAACTAGTCTGCAACCCACTGGCAGGTTGATCATTAACTGATTTTGCATATCTTGTGTTCACTTTCTTTTTTCTGCACTCCCTTGAACATGCACAGTAATGAATTGAGATGGGAAGAGTACCTTGCTTTCTGGAGCTGAGAATTTTTATCCAGGTTTAACCCCTTTGCACAGTTAAAATGATTCTCCTCACTAAAGGGTGGCAAATTTCACTATACAAAGATAGTCCAGTTGATCCTTTCCTATAAACTGAGCTGGCATCAGCAACTCCAGGAAGGGGAATAATTTATTTTACTATAGAGAAAATACTAGAAGAATAATGAATGTAACAACATCAAATTAATGCTCTTCATGAGTTAGTCACGGTTTCAGTTGCAGATTTATATCAAGCTGAGTGCAAAGCACCCTTCACCAAATTTGCACATTTAAAGGGACTACAATTACTTTAAAGGAAAAGGTAATTAAAAAAATTATTAGGATGACAAAAAATACCAAAACATGAAGTTAAACAACAATAAATATAACTTGTTATTCATAGGAACAAAGAACAAAATGCACAAGTGTAAGATGGAGAACGACTCACTAAATTGTAGCACTCTGAGAAGCATTTAAAGAGTATTATGAATAAGAATCTGAATACAATCTGATAAAATGGCATTTGCCTTTAGCCTGATTAATTGAAGAACTGTATGAAACACAGGTAGTAATTATTAGTTTTTAGAACCACTTTACATTGGAAAAGATCACAAGATGATAAAAGAACACAATGCAAAATAATGTTAAGAGCATAAAACAACAATGGGAAATAAGGGCAGGGAGAGGAGGACTAATGGGCCAGGGGGAACATGTTGGCAAGATGGCAATTGTTCAACATAACCCCAGTCCAAAAATATGTCCATGCAGCTATGTGATACTCACAAATTGCTTGTATGCATGTGTCCGAGCACATCTGCTGCCATCTACCACCTGATCATATGGTTGGCACTATGACCTCTTTCAACACCCAATCACTTGTTCATTGGGGGGGGCGCTGAATTCAGTCACAATGAGTGACTATCAGTCACGATGAGCACTATTATAACTGATTAGGACTGTGAGCATAATTTACAGTTCAGTATCAGAAATACACCTGCTCAGTGGACTAATATACTCCTTGGAATTATATATTCAATACTGATTTGAATACACGTGTTTCAGAAAGATATGCACATACATAATGGGGCATATTGAACAGAAATGAGGGGAAATTGCATTTCCATCACAGGTAGGACAGAAACAAATTAACCCAAAATTTCAGAGATTCAAATAAGATATCTATGGAGGCTATAAAAATGCCTTTTTAAAGGCAAAAAATCTGGACAGTTATTTCCTGAGGTTGCTTTAGTTATCTTGTCTCAAGGCCTGAGGCTCAGCAGTTATATGGTATGACTTTTAACACTCAGATTTTATGACTATCTAAGCCACTTACTCAGAAGTCTTCCAAATCAAGTAAATTCTGTTCTGGAATATATGGCTTGTGTATCATATTATATAAGCCCCCAACATCTAAATGTCAGGCAGTCCAATCATAAATCTGCAGAAAAGTTCATATTCTCTGGCTAAGGGTTCTTATATACTTTTTGTTTCACCAGCATCCAATAGTTAACTAATTCTGGCCACTTCCTCAGAAAAAAACTGTCTTATCAGCCTGGTCCTGATCTGCATTTGCTTCAGCAGTACAAACAAAGTTTCTATCCTGGAGCTAATGCCCCATTATTTTCAGCAAATGAAGTTAACAAGGTAAACGACCCCTGGATGGTTAAGTCCAGTCGAATTCAGCTATGGGGTGTAGCGTTCATCTCCGCTTTCAGGCTGAGGGAGTCAGCATTTACCGCAGACAGCTTTCCGGGTCATGTGGCCAGCATGACTAAACCCCTCTGGCACATGGAATACCGTGACAAGTGCCAGAGTGCACAAAAATGTCATTTACCTTCCTACCACAGTGGTACCTATTTATCTATTCACACTGGTATGCTTTCGAACTGCTATGTTGGCAAGAGCTGGGACAAAGCAACAGGAGCTCACCCTGCCAGGCAGATTCAAACTGCCAACCTTATGATATGCAAACTCAATAGGCTCGGTGGTTTAGACCACAGCGCCACCCGTGTCCCTACTTCAGCAAATGAAACCCCTATCCATTCCTTTCTTTTAAAAATAAGTACTGTCTTATTGGCTATAATTGGTATACAAATTTAATAATAATAATATAATCTAACACAGAACTGAGAACTGTTAAGCTCATGAAAATCAGCGGTCTCAAGTATGCTTCTGTGCTGCAACATTGCCACCAGGTATTTATACCGCATTTTCCAAACCAATATATTATTTATAAAACAGATTACATTATTAAATTGGTATAAATTTAAAACAATAAAATTTCAGTATAGAAAACAATACAACCAACAGCATTTAAAATAGAAATTAGCTGAAGCAAGACAAAAGGCCATCCAAAGAAGGAAGGTCTTCAAAGCATGTCTTCTGGAGCTGGAATGTTTGCTCCTAAGACCTATCTAGTCAAGCATCTCCTGCTCTGATAGTGACCAACAAGCAGGACATGAGCACTCTCCCCACTGGTGCTCCCCAGAAACTGGTATTCAGAGGCATACCACCTCCCTTACTGGAGGCAGTACACAACTATTCTGGTTAATAGCATTGAGAGCATTATCCTCCATGACTTTGTCAACCCCCCTTTAAAGCCATCCAAGCTGGCAGTCGTTACTATATCTTGTGGTAGCAAATTATATTTTTAACCATGTGCTTGTGGAGAACTACTATACATTTAATACTTTGCATTTAACAGAGAAGTACTAGGTTGTAGATTGATGGTTATAAGTCACTAAAAAGGTACCCCTGCCCGTACGGGCCAGTCTTGACAGACTCTAGGGTTGTGCGCCCATCTCACTCAAGAGGCCGGGGGCCAGCACTGTCCGGAGACACTTCCGGGTCACGTGGCCAGCGTGACATCGCTGCTCTGGCGAGCCAGAGCCGCACACGGAAACGCCGTTTACCTTCCCGCTAGTAAGCGGTCCCTATTTATCTACTTGCACCCGGGAGTGCTTTCGAACTGCTAGGTTGGCAGGCGCTGGGACCGAACAACGGGAGCGCACCCCGCCACGGGGATTCGAACCGCCAACCTTTCGATCGACAAGCCCTAGGTGCTGAGGCTTTTACCCACAGCGCCACCCGCGTCCCTTTTATAAGTCACTATACTTCATCTATTACATAAATGAATGTGTTTCCCTCTCTTCTCTGAAACCATACTCAAAGGGGCTAACAAAAAGATCAAAGATGAGTATATATTTTCCCTCCAGTGTTAATATTTGTAATAACATACTGAAAAGTTAAAAAAACCCTCTTTTTTTGTCCTTCTTCTCTTAATTTTACTATTTTTTTCTACTTTGCTCATAACCATCATGCTCCAGATTTTATTAAACCATGCATTCACTTATAGAAGGCTCCAACAAGAAGACTTATTAAATAGGTTGAACTATCTATGAAAAATCAATCAAATTTTGCAAAGTATAATATCCATTCTTAGAGAGGCATTATACAACTGTGAGGTGAGGTGTGGCAGTCGCCTCAGGGCAACAAGCTCCAGAAAGCTGGGAGAGGCAGCAGATCCAGCAAGTGGGCAGACATACAGCAGTAGACACACAGCGGATGAGGGGTCAAGATTTTCTGTTTTGCCTCTAATGGCAAAATGTCCTGAGCCAGCCCTGACAACTGTGCACACAATTTATATAGCATGTTCTCCAAAATCACATCCTGGCCAACAATTAATAACCATGCTGCAATGAGAGCAGAGAGCCAGAATCCGCCTGGAAACAACTTGCTTTTTTTAGTTTTGTTTGCGCTTAAGAATCCTCATTAACTGTTTCCAACCATGTATGCATTAGATCAAACAATTTCATTCATTTTTTATTAATCCAGAATAGCTGTCATTCCTCAATATCATATTCATAATTACTAGGGCCAGTCCACACCTGCATACAGTATTCATCAAAAAGACTCTAGATTCAGGTAGGTAGCCATGTTGGTCTGACGCAGTCGAAATAAATACAGTGGTACCTCGGGTTACATACGCTTCAGGTTACAGATGCTTCAGCTTACAGACTCCGCTAACCCAGAAATAGTACCTCAGGTTAAGAACTTTGTTTCAGGATGAGAACAGAAATCGCGCGGTGGCAGCGGGAGGCCCCATTAGCTGAAATGGTACCTCAGGTTAAGAACAGTTTCAGGTTAGGAATGGACCTCCAGAACGAATTAAGTTCTTAACCCGAGGTACCACTGTAAAAAATTGTCCAGTAGCACCTTAGAGACCAACTAAGTTTGTTGTGGGTATAAACTTTCGTGTGCATAGTCTCTAAGGTGCTACTGGACAATTTTTAATTTTTTAATTTATATCAAAAAGACTGCAATCCTATACCCATAGGTATACCTAAGTCCCATTAACCTCAATGAGACTTATTTCTGAGTAGATGTGTATAGGTTTATGTTGCTAATGACTAATATCAAGATATTAATTTCATTTCTCAACAAGCCAAAACAGAGCAAATACAACAGAAATACTTTTCATATAACTTCAGATCACCTAAAATTCAAAGGATTCGTTCTGACATTAACTTCATAAAATGGGAGCTGCATCAGTGTAAATCCTGCACCACAGGATGGACACATGGATGGAGATGGCAGTATGGCTCCTTCCCATGCCTATGATACCTCAACTTTAGGAATAGTGATGATGGTGTGGGATGGCACACTGTGGACTCCTCCCATATTAGGGCTTCTGATGTCACTCAAGCAGCATAGGAAACAGCTGAACTGCAGCAGCTCTCATGCTACTTAAATAAACATCAGAAGGGGCTTAAAGCTTTTCAGTTGAATTGGTTCACAACTGTAAGCCATTTAGTAATCAAGTGAAATTAAATGATACACATATGCATGTAAACCAATCCTAAATTCATTTAGAATTGCCCACTCCCAACGTAAGCATGCACTGCACGTTTGGGAATGGAGAATTAGGTGGCTGCATTATTCTTCACTGATTATGACAGCATTCCAAGGGAATAGATGAAGACAGTTATATGCAATTGCAAACTTATCACTAGTCGTATACTACCAATGATAATCAGACTTAAGTCCATTGATTTCAATAGGTCTACTCTGACTAACCTTGGATATCACCCTATGAGTTCCCATAAAAGTGTAAATTCCACAGGTAGTAAAATACCAGCCATAACTGGTTGTATATGGTGCTATTCCTTTACCTCCTGTGGTATTTGTCAGAGAACTGATATTTCATGCATCCAGCCATCATAAGTACTGTACTGCTTTGACATGCATTTATTGAGGTTAGTTAGAGTTAAATTGTGACTTTGCAAATTTACAGAAAGGCACAGAGAACAAATACAAAGTGATAGCATAAGTAATTAATTTTGCACATTGTCAGGGGTATCCAAGTGATGTTGAAAAAGTGATTTTAGATTCATACATGTCCTTATCAAAATGAATAGTCTTAACACAAAAATTATGCATGTTGACCAGGCAGTGTATTATCTAATCTGTTTATATTATCCAGTTTTATATATTTACTGATATTATTTGAAGACTATGCATACTGTGCAGGCATTTTACAAAAACCCCTGTTTACACTGCCTATTTAAACACATTCTCTATGCCTTCATGTGAGTGTGCAAAATTGCATATTTATGCAAATTATTCACTGAATTTATATTAACCACGATATATACACACTTGACAGGAATTAACAATGTTTTCTAAGTATATACTGGTGCTACAATTTCTGTCAAAACAAACTGTTATATATAGAACCTTCTGGGTTTAGGTATTAATGAAATCATTTACCTATGGTATGGAGCATATTTTGTTTCTATAGAAAGTTAGACTGAAGATGCAATTTACTCAAAGTAGGTTCTTCTGCCATCATTGTGCATTTGGGTATTAGAGGAAGGAGTTTCTATCCAAATTTCAAGCGCCAGATGAAAGATCTTAGTTCTTTAATATATTTGTCATAGTCTGTCTATACCCTATTTCGTATCAATCACCAATGAATGAAAGGTACTTTGCAGATATTTTAACAGAGATTTTGGTGGACCATGGCCAGAGCTTGCTGCTGCCAGCACAGTTTAGATTATGAGTGGCTGCTATTTTACTTCAAGTGGCTATAATATAAGCATAGAAAGAGATACTTAAATGGGTCTGAGCAAAGAGCTACTGCCTCCTTTAAGTGGGGCAGTCTGGGGCATGGTAGGGGAAAGGGGGAAAGCTTTGGTTCCATAAAATGTCCTTTCTTTTCCCTTTGTATTGGGCTTACATGTTGGATACAATCACTGCACTGCCGATGGAAGCTTTACAGAAGCTAAAGACTGGGTTGTTTTCTACAAGGGGAAAAAGCCAACCATCACTCTTTTGAGTTTGTTCACTCCTGCAGCTCGACAACTGTCTACACTGCAGACTAAAGACATTTATTGCAAGTACCAAGACTTCCATCTTCCCCCATCACCCTTGGTCATTCTACCAGGCCGGTTATATTGGATTCCCTCCCCCCTTCCTTATTCTGTATGATTTAGATTATGGGAGGAAAGCTGGGCTTAATGATCCAGAGCTGGAGTTCCCTTAGCCCGAGAACTTTTCTGCATCGTCTGCCTCTTCAAGTGAACATGTATGATGAAGATGTTGATGATTACAATGATGCAGATGTTGCTGCTACTGCAAGGGATCCAACCTGTTTTATTACCCCACCCCCCACTGCACCGGAGTCTGAAGGGACAGCCAAAGGAGCACTATGTACAGGACCACATCTATTTCTGCTTTGTTTTCTAACCCTAGTCCCAACCCGTTGATGACTATGACAACAACAAAAAGGGCAAATGCATTTTTTACATTTCTTGATAATTTCTAAAGCAATGTATCATTGCTTTCTTTAGACTGATGCCAATATAAGAGTTGTATGGGTCTCAGCCAGGCTTCTGTGTCTTTTTCTGACTGAAGAGTTTGAGATCATTCTGTGAAACATTCTTACTTAAAGACAAGTTATGATTTGACAACCATGGAGACAACTTTTCAAGAAAACACACAGCTCGCTAACTGTTCAGTTGCTGAGATTATTCTCTTAGTAACAATTGCAATTTGTGCGCTTCTTAATAACATTTAAAAATAAACTCATCCTTTACAGGAAGAGCCCACATTTGAACCATATTTGGTATAATTGTACATCGATTTGTATTAAACATTACAGTTCTGATATAATATAAATGGAATGGAATATGAATCAAGGAACTGTGAGGCTGGATAGATGAATGGACAGTTGTGTCCAATTAATCTCTAGAAGATTAATCAAAATCCTGGGTTGGGTTCTGACTTCACACTACAAAGAGAGGGTTGTTTTATATGTTACAGTTTCTTACATGGAAATTATTTGGGCAAAACTGTTCTTTACCTGATAAAAGATCAAAACAGTAACATTTGCCAGGCCATCAAAATTCTAACACAGAAAAAGAAAAAATGTGAGATTTAATAACAGACATATATATATATATATAGAGAGAGAGAGAGAGAGAGAGAGAGAACTATGCCATGTATACATGAGATTCTTAATCATTTTCAACTTAACAAGCATGGGAAATTAACTGATTTGAAGCTAGTGAGACCACACAAAGAGAACTGAAATTAATAGAATATATGGCTGAAAGGAACCTCCTATGTCCTCCAACTTAATATTGCTAATTTCACATAAGTAAATGGGGGAGGCGGGCAGCAAAGGGATAAGGAATACCATATGGCATTTTTACTAAGTAGACTGGATCACACAAGGATAAGGGCCCTGAGATAGTAGTGACTACATAAGAAAAAATGTGACTCCAGAATAGAGAGACAGGGTTGTCTCATTTATTGTAGTTTCCTAGGTGGAGACTGGTCCTTTACTTGCAATGAAGTGTGGGATTTAATCTGATCCACACCATGTATTAACAATATGCAGTTCATACAGGTATACAATATACATTCCATGCAGGAAGTACTATCCTAAATATTGAAGGCCTATTAGGACTTGGGGGCGGGGAAGAATTCAGACTCCTTTGTCCGCTAGAACTTATTGCTGCTGAGAGGACAGAAATGGTTGAGGGACCGTGATGGGAATGGCCTCCAACCAGAGTGGTACAACAGGAGGATAGTGCTTTAACCAATACATACATACTCAGCAGCCACAAACTTGAAAACTATAATACCTGGTGGGGTGGGGGTGGGGTTTGTTCAGCTAGACCTAAACCTCAGCAGTACTTTGCAGGGATAGGAGCATTATCCTGACATGAGTCAGGGGACCTTGAACTTATTTCAGATTGTTCAGGCCTGGGGGCTGCCATCACCATCCTCAATTCTGAGTGCTATTGCATTGTAAATCAATGCAGATATGTTTTGGAATTACCACAGCTCCCGAACTGAAAACTATAGCAGGGGAGGGATATTTTTTTAAATCCCTATTCCCTGTGTTCTCTGGTAGAGCTCCTCTTTTTCCTTGTTGAAAAGCCAATCCAGCCCTCCAGCGTTCATCACTGTCAGAGATTTTATACATGTCTTAACGTACCATTATTACAGGAGAGCTTTGCTCATATGCAGTTCTTGTTGGAAGATGGGTTCTTTTCTGTCCCTTCCCCTCTTTTCTTTTTTACAAAATAATATTTTTTCTGAATACCTGGGGAATGCACAGAAACCCTTACTTTGCCCATGGGTGCCCCAGTTTTATGTCCTATGTGTCAGATTGCCGTTAGGAGGAACAAGTGGGACCTGGCAGGACCTGTAAAAAATACTGTCGTATACCTTCACAGTTTGGGTTCCGGCCAGCCCCTACTTCCAAGCAGGGCATTCCACTCCTCCATCTTATTCTCCATTTTCCTTTTCCAGCTATCACACAATATTCTGTGGCTATTGCGCATATTCAGTCCTCATTGTTCGGGGGGGGGGCCTTGTGTGTTTTTGTTTTTAAAGAAGCCTTTTTATACTTCTGCAAACATTAGGGGTCCCCCAAGCATGCTGCGACATCCAGAGACATTCCGGACAAAACACTCACTACATAAGTTTAGTATTAGAAGGAGTGTTAATGATGAAACAGCCATCAGTGATATTATTCTGCAATTATTTTATCAGAACATTTTCTCTCTGGTATCCTAGCTGAAGTCCACTGGTGACAGGTGGTTCAATCAGTCTTCTGCCCAAACTCCATTTAATGTGAGGATTTGTGCAAGGGGGGGCGGGCGGAATCCTGATTAATTGTGCTGTACATATTTGGGGCATATATCCTTGAGCTACATTTTATATTATCAGAAAGAGATATGAAATAAGAGGAAATAAACCCAGTTTGATCTTAGTTCATCTCAGTTTCTGAAAGTATGAATTTCAACACAGTTCCTGTATTATTGCCTTGTAGTGGTGTACGTATTATTGTAGCATCTTGTATTCACCACTGACAGAGATAGTATAATACCATTGGTATCCTATCGGTCTGAATGTAATACTTTTCTTATGCTCTTAAACAAATCATTTAGGGATCTACTTTTAGTGGACTATGCTAATCTATATTAACCTTTAGCATCATAAGTAATTTCTTTAATTATTTATGGCCTGCTTTTCATAAACTATTTTCTAAAGTCTGCTTACAAAGTAAGCCGTCACATAAAAAACAAAAACAATTCTGTGTTTTCATGAACAGTAAAATGAACACAGAAGCTGCTCTAGGCATATTATCTGGCTCACGATCACCAATTACTTAATAAGAATTCATGTCAGTATCTTGCACATTGGTAGAGAAGGTAGTTTATGTGCTGTGAAAATTTTAAAAATCCCAAAATTACAACCTCAGGGTTGTTGTAGGTCACAATGTTACAGTGACGGGAGAAACCACATCAGACAAAATCCTCCTTCTGTGCTACTCTTGTTAGTGTCCTAGCAGCTTATGTCCTCTTGGCTCCCTGGTCACAGCCTCTAACCCTCTTATCCTCCCTTTGCCTATCCACCTCCTTCCTGCACTGAGCCCCCTGGGAGGCTTTGCCTCAGTCCCCCTTTCTCCAACTCAGCCCACCTTTCTCCATCTTTGCATCACACAAGCTTCCTCAGGTTCCTATTTATCCCAAATGGATCATTCCACATCAAATCAATGCAAAATAACCAAGGGTTTTCTCACCCACCATTTCAGATTTTGATGAAACTTGGTGTACACCCTTCACTTATGATTGAAAGAAACCCCCTTAATTTTTTTCCCTCTACCTCAAACGGTTTTATTTTTAAAGCACTTCGAAGTTTCGTTAAATCTGCGTTGTCTGTCCCTCTTGAGACCCTCGGCACAAGATACCCTTGTGTACGTTCTGGGGGTTTCTTTCCTCCATAAACAATTATCAGATCTCTTTGAAATTTTACACAGAGCTCAATAAAATGATGAGGATTTCAGAAAAAAATACACCAGCACTCAAAAGATTTTATAAATGCCTACAAAAAATTATAAATGCACTTGTAGCCTAGTTTTTTTATGGAAAAACTAGGTTTAGAAAACCTGAATTTACAGCGTATGGGCATGATGTAATCAAAAGTTTTTGATGTTGAAAATTATTGCAAAGACATGCTCTTTCTTGACAAAGAATGAAATTTGTGATTTTTTATTCCTTGTAATGAAAATTTTACGTTTTTTGGACATCGTGGGGGGAAATGGCTACTGGGTAGCCATTTTGTACAACTTTCCTACAATCCATAGCTGTAATAGAAAACATTAATGAAACAAAGTTGTTCATCTTAAAAACTAAAATAATATTATTATAGGTTTTTTTCAAAAGTGCAGACTTGTTTTAATTTTGGGATTTTGAAGTTATGAAAATTGGCTATCAGGAATATAAAAAAAGAAAAAAAGAATTTACAGTCAGTAGAACATTAAATGGTGACATGTAAGGAAGTAAGACCTAGCAAGAAAAATATTCTAAAAAATTAAAAATTGAGTATTATATAAAAATATGAGTACATCAATTATTTTAAAAATAATTATTCATTTCAGAAATATTTAAAATATTAGACATTTTAAAATGTTTTCTCAGATTGCAGTTCAGAGAAGTCTTGCTAGTTGTGTATGCTATTGTTCAGTTTGTGGATGAATCATGGATAGCTGAAGTTGGGTGATGCAATGCAGATGAGTCATGCAAGCCACTGGTGTTGATGGAAGAAAAAATGAAATACTTACAGGTGATACTGAGGCTACAGCAAAGAAACTGAGGAGCATTGAACTTGTAAGGTAATCAACTGTGATAATAGCATAATCTGTTATGGTAATTTTTTACTTTAGTTTAACTGTTGTCTTTACTGTTATTAATGTATCTGCTGTCATAAAACAGCCTCATTGTGAATTACGCCTCAATATATTTAACATAAATGTTAAAAAGTCTCCATGCATCCATTATTTCAAGACAAACATCATTCTCTTTTTCTTTTCTTTTGTAAGATAGACTTGTCTTTCTATGTAATAATATTCTGAAAAACAAATTGGGGATCATGTAATATTGCATAATTGAATATAATAATTTTAAATTCTTTTAATCTTTTTCTTGCTAGGTCTTATTACCTTACATGTCAGCATTTAAAGTTTCTGACCGAATTTATTATTATTATTATTGATTTCACGATAGCCAATTTTCATAATTTTAAATACCACAAAACTAGAAACAAGTCTGCACTTTCAAAAAAATCTATAATAACCAATATTATTGTAATTTTTAAGATGAACAACTTTGTTTCAGTAATTTTTTCTACTACTGCTATGGATTGTAGGAGAGTTGTACAAAATGGTAGCCATTTTTTTCTACGATGTCCAAAAAACGTAAAATTTTCATTACAAGGAATAAAAACCCATAAATTTCATTCTTTCTCAAGAAAGAGCATGTCTTTGCAATAATTTTCTACATCAAAAACTTTTGGTTATACCATGCCCACATGCTGTAAATTCAGGTTTTCTAAACCTAGGTTTTCCAACAAAAAAACTAGGCTTCAAGTGCATTTATAATTTTTTGTAGGCATTTATAAAATCTTTTGAGTGCTGGTGTATTTTTTTCTGAAATCCTCATCATGTTATTGAGCTCTGTGTAAAATTTCAAATAGATCTGATCAATTGTTATGAAGAAAAATAAATAAAATGTACACAAGGGTTTATTGTGCCGAAGGTCTCAAAGGGGACAGACAACGCAGATTTAATTAAACTTTGAAGTGCTATAAAATTAAAACCGTTTGAGATAGAGGGGGGAAATTTAAGGGGGTTTCTTTCAATCACAAGGGATGGGTGTACACCAAATTTCATCAACATCCGAGATGGAGGGTGACATGACCTTGTTGAAATGACATGGAATGACCCAAGTCCTTTAGGCAGCCGACCTCCTACCCTCCCTACACAGCATACAACCCCTTCTGACCTTTATTATTTATTTTACTTATAATATTTTAGCCCTTCTGTTCCTCTAAGGAGCTTAAGGCAGCGTACACAATCCCTCTTTTTATCCTGAAGTGCTAAGGTTACTTTACAGATCATTCTTGTCTCAGTTGACCATTGCCTACAACACTGATTTGGGGGCAGGTGTTCATGAGTTAGTGTATTAATACTGACTTACTTAGTCAACCAGTGTCAGAGGCTTCACCATTGCAAGCACAATACAAAATAGATGTCAGCCTCCTCCACAGTCCATTCCATGCATCTTATCAATGTAAGCAGGCTCTCAGCAGCAAAACTGTATCCTTGCACCATATTAATCAAGACAAACAAATAGTGTGGTGGCACATTCAAACTTTTTGATGTTTCTGGCCTAGTTTTAACCATGGGCTATTATTTGAGAAATTTATGTCAGAAGAACCAAATTTATATTAAAAAAAAATCACTTCAATCATTTATTGTCTCAATCATGTACGTTTAGGAACCTACTAAGAGTTTCTACAGCTCTTGCAACATGAATGGATAAGAAGTGTCTTAAAAGCTCTAAACATCTGAACAAGAAATGATTTCTATGTTTTTAGGTAAATCTCTAATTCAAATGCACACACACACAAAGAGCATTGCAAGATAAGATGCTGCACCTCATAACCTCATGTACCTAGAGCTTCCACATAATCATCCTTCCATGAAAAAACAAGTTGCATGTCCCTACCAATAAATATTGCTATGTTTTATACAATGCTGTCTCTCTGTCAAAGATGCCTCTACTACAGACAAATTTGATTTCTTAAAAGTGTCTGGATGAAAGAGGCCACACTGTGCCTTTCTTGGATATATATATATATAGAAAGAAAGGAAGAATTCCTTCCTAAAATAGTGAAACTTAGCAAGTCAAGGATAATTTTTTTTAAAGAAAAGAATACCTACTGTAATCCAGCTCAGAAGCAAATATAATTTAGGGTATGATTCCACGTTTTTTAGGCTACATTCTTATTGATGTCTGCGATCACATTACAGGAACAGGCAAACCAAGTATAGCTTCAGTATATGTTTCTCCTTATTTCATTGAACTGAGGGGTTCATCCTGACAAAACTATCCATCTTATTAATTTCAGTGTGCAGTGGGCTCATGCACAACTTTCACTTCCTCTGACCATCCAAGGAACTTCATTTCTCCTGACCATCAGCTATAAATGTTTAGTTGATATGATACAGATTTTTGCATGTAACTTTCTTTCTAATTGCTTAGATCCATGAATGAACTGAGCTCTTAAAAGCTGTTATGTCTGTCAAGATGTAAATTCCTCCACTTTTCCTCCTCCCTAATCCAAAATGCTCATACTATCTAACTTAAAGATGTTCCAGACAGAGCTGTTGAGCAGGTCCCACTGTTTTAAGACCCAGTTTTCATGAAGCAACTGAAATCAAGAAGGCTAAAATTGCCCTTGTAAAATAAAGCTGTACAGTTTGTAACCATAATGTAAGCCTGCCATAGGTTAAAAACAAACAACCAGTCTTGCCCTCTTCTCACACATTTTAAATAAACAGAATGAATGACCCACAAAGTGAGCTAGAGAATTGCCTTGGTGTGAGACAAATGTATATTCCTGTAAGATTGCATTTTTATCTGAGGAATTATGTTATTTTAAAAATTGCTAATAAATTTTTTAACAATGTCTTGATTGGTTTATCCTAACTCCTTTTACACTTATACCTTCCTCATGACATCTGCTACAAACAGGCCAATCTGCCAGCCACTGTCAACTTATACATTCCTAACATTTATACTTGTATTTGTATTACAGGTCTATCAGTGCCAAGCGGTATTTAGAATCCTAACCATACCTTTACAATAGCAGTGGCTATCTGCATGGCTAACAGCCCAGTCCTCATACTTTCTGAACCAGTACACATCTTATGAATGGGAAATATGGCTATACTACCACCACAACATAAAACTGTTATCCAAGCAATGTTACACTATTACATAAAATAGAAACAGAAACAATAAATACATTAATACTCACCCATCATGTTGTTATGAGTTGGCTGAGTTTATTGTCCCTGTACCTCTCTTGCTTTCCCTCTCATTGTCTATTCACCTGTCAAAGAAGATATAGAACAATAAACATACTTTCCACCAGTTTTGGTTATATTTTGATATTCTACTTATTATTTGCAGCACAAATTTGACAATTACAAATCTGTTCTGCAACTAACACAAATAAGGTAGGGATGTGCAATTGTACATTTCTCCCAAAATACTTTCTAAAAATTCAGAGTGCATCTTCTAGGAAAGACAACTTTGAGGAATATGAATGCTCTGGCAAATAAGAATGTAAGCAAACAACACTAAAAATGCAAGTCAGATTCAGAAACAAATAAATTCAGAACAACCAAGCTCAAATGTGCCCTAACCAATAAGAACAAGAAGCACACTAACTGAAGATAAGCTCATGGCAGATCAAGAAGTACCGGTAGTTGATAATAAAAAGCCATAGCCTGGTAAATTAACCCCCAAAAGTCTGTTCATTCCTTATTCTTAAAATCTAGCATGATAATTTAAGATCCTCAGTGTACTTTTAGAGTTTAGTTTCCTTCAGATTGTAACCCATTGCTATGCATGTTCACTTGTAAATCCCACACTGCGTCAAAAGGGGCTTAGTACAATCCTGTCTGCACTGATTTGGAGTATGCATAGAATTGCACTTTTGAACTAATTTTCTGGTCCCAATTCCATGTACTTGTTTTAACTTTTGAAGCCTTAAAAAGCTTAGAACTAGGATACCTATCAGAGGGCTTTCTACTTTCCACCTGAGGCATCTTTTTGGTTGTGTTGTCCTGCCTTCAGAACTCGTTCCTCAGGTAGGCTTCCCTGGTACCATCTCCCATTATCTTTTCAGCACCAGGTATTGTTGCTATTTGCCTGGACTTTTTAAGCTTTTAGTTTGACTGCAGCCCTATTCACATTTCTCTCACATACAGGGCATAGCTACATTGACTATAGAGAGTGACCATGTATTTAACCTGCCCTGTGCTATAATTTCTTCCTATAACTATGTGTTGTTCACAGTTGTCTGTAGGGAAATGCCAATGCACAAGCACTGCACGATACGGACACTAGGTATCCTGATAGTACAAAGCCCCTATACAGCCAGATGCTTGAGCTTCGGAATTTCCCTAAAGACAACTGCACACAATCATGGGGAGAATAACACTATGGTCTAATCTGCACTCAACATAATAATGCCCTACATCTGAGTAACACATGCACAGGGTTTTTCCATTCTGCTGGCTTTTAAGCCTTATCTTGTTTTATTCTATTGTATGCTTAAAAATAGTTAAAGCCATGGTTTTCCCAGTAGTGATGTATGGAAGTGAGAGCTGGACCATAAAGAAGGCTGATCGCCGAAGAATTGATGCTTTTGAATTATGGTGCTGGAGAAGACTCTTGAGAGTCCCATGGACTGCAAGATCAAACACATCCATTCTTAAGGAAATCAGCCCTGAGTGCTCACTGGAAGGACAGATCGTGAAGCTGAGGCTCCAGTACTTTGGCCACCTCATGAGAAGAGAAGACTCCCTAGAGAAGACACTGATGCTGGGAAAGATGGAGGGCACAAGGAGAAGGGGGCGACAGAGGACGAGATGGTTGGATAGTGTTTTTGAGGTTACCAGCATGAGTTTGACCAAACTGCGGGAGGTAGTGGAGGACAGAGGTGCCTGGCGTGCTCTGGTCCATGGGGTCACGAAGAGTCGGACACGACTAAATGACTAAACAACAACAAATGCTTAAAAACAAACAAAGTCCTGTGCCAAAAGGCACATATCCATCCCCCATTCACAACTGTTAAAATTAAAATTGTAACTGAGCAACTATCATACTGTGTAAGTTCAACAATTCCATTTGCCGTGTTCACCTTGGCAAGTGGTCAGCCTTCCCCACAACTTTGAAGCTGCAGAAGTGAGTGGAGATCATCCCAGCAGCTCCTCAGCAATCCACAATGGTAGGAAGGCTAGAGATTTGTTTGGCAACTGAGTGGCAGTGCCCAGAGAACAGCTTCCCCAGCAGCACCAAACTGGCACCCCATGGCAGCCTCTCCTGCTTCTGAGCCAGTGGGGGAAGGGGTGCAACTGCAGCAACGCCCAACAGGCTACACTCATCCCAGGGCCCCTCCTCAGAAAAGGAAAGGGGCTTGAGAGATGAGGGAGCTCCACAACTACAACTGTTTGATTTGGCCAACAAGGCTAGTAGTCATTGTGTAAAGCACTTTACAATACAGTACTGTATATACATTTTGTTCAACAACCCTGACAGAAGTCACTCACATCCTCACGGATGAGGACGGCGGGCAGGGGATTTGGCCTAGTTCAAAAGCAGGGCTCAGAATTTAGACGCTGTTAATTTTTTGGCGTTTGGTAAGTTTCGTGCCTTGTTTTTATGTGTATCAGACAGGAATGTGCCTTATTAGATTTTAGTGGTGTTTTTTATATATATATAAAAACATATATATATATAAAAGCCATATATATATGGCTTGCAGTGTTGTTTTTTGAGGGGGGCGGGGGGAGTATCAGCACCTTTTTATCCCCAAATGTTGAAAGTGTGGCACTTACACTTCATGGTGAGTACGGGCTCCTTTTCGTCTGGGGGGAGCAGAGGCGAAGGGCCTCAAAGTCTGGAAGAGGCCCAGGCCTCGCTGGGGGGCTTACTTCTGAGTAGGCAATGTATAGGAACGCGCCGCAGGTCTGTGAGAAGAGATTCTCTGAGGACGTCGGCAGCTAACCTGTTTAAATTCATAAACGCGCCCAAAAGCAACCTCAACGGAACAAGCACACGTTAGGGACCTATGTACTAAGGCAGCTAAAACTGCAAGGCGTCAGGGGCCACGGGGAAGCGAATAAATAGCAGTAACAACAGGCACGCGAAGAGGCGAGGCCACGCCTTTGGCAGTTCCTTCTCCTAACCGCCCGCTCTCGCGCCCATGGCGCTGAAGCCACGCCTCCTTCTCCCGTCACCGAGCTCAGCTCCTCGCGCCGCCTCAGGTAAAGCCGCGCTTCTGCTCCTGCCCGCCTTTTGAAGAACCTAGCCACGCCCCCTCCCTCTTCGCTCCTCCTTAGGTGCGTTTCCTAAGCTCCGCCCTTGTTCTCCCTTTTCAGGTTTTGGTCCCGGAAACTGGGGGCGGACGAAGCGAGTGTAGCCGGTGGCCTCGCTTCGACAGCGGCTATGGCGAGGATGGGAGCCGTCGCCGCCGCTTCGCTTCCCCTTACACTTCTTCTGGGACTTTTGCCCGCTGCTTCAGGGCTGAGGCTCCTCGAAGACCCGCCAGTTTTCAATTGTTCCCAGCCGGTAAGTCTCTCGGGGCCAAAGTTCATTTTTCCGGCTCTTTCGAAAGCGGCGTCGTAGTTAACTCGAGGCTGCGGATGCGGAAGTTCTCGGTTCGGGTTCTTGCTACTTGTCAGGAACTCACGAGGTTGCTTTTGACAAGCCCGTCTCTCGCTCCGAGCCGTCGCCAGTTTGTTAAAGTAAAGGTTGCTGTATTGACCTACTTCGCAGGGTTGTTCCGAGGATTGCCTGCCCGTGCCTTCATTCTCTCCCTCCCCGCTTCTCTGTTCTTTGTGTTTACTTAGTTAAGGACCTGCCTTTGTAAAATTCCAGATACCTGGATGGTGCTGTAGAAACAAATTATTCTGAATAATAATGTGTGTGTCCCTCCATGTGTTGTTGGACTTAGCTCCCAGCAGCCTTAGCCATCTGGATGACTGTAGGTTCCCCACCTCTGTGAGATGAGCAAAGTAAAACGTGTTTTTTCCCTAAAAAATTGTGGTGGTGTTTGTACATTTTTTTCATGCATGGTACTATTGTATCTGTTTAGGAAAGAATATCTAGCCGTAGTTGGTCCACAGATCAATGGCTTAAATAAAGAGCTTCTCTGGAGGAATTACAGGTGTATAAAATCAAAGCATTGAGTGTGCTGCGATGGCAACATTATCTTCCTGAAGTAGTATTTGTATTTTAATTTACCTCTGCAAGTGATCTCTGACTAAAGGATTGTGTACTCTTTTACCAATAGTGATAATTCAGTCAGAAACTTCCATGCCTCTCTTTTCATTAAAGCCCTATTCTATGTGTGTATGTAAAATATTAATGCTGTATTAGCATTCTTTTCTTAATTAGCATACACCTGTGTACAGTCATGCAGGCTTCAACACTGAACATGGTTTACCTTCTGGTAACTGATGAGCAACCAGCCTTCCCCCCAACTTTGAACCTGGGAAATTTGGTGGAGATACCTCTTCAGTTGCATAGTGATTCTCACCACCTCCCAAGCTTTACAGATAGGAGAAAGGATAGGGATTGTTTGGCACCTGCATGGCCAGAATGCCTTGAGGGTCTTGCCTATGCAAGGCCAAACTTAGTAAGACCCTGCACCACCACGGCTTCTCTTCCTCTACCACCAACCAGGTTTCCCGGTAATATATTCAGACTCAGTCAGGTTGTAACGTATTAGCAAAGATTCCAGTTTATTGTGAACACAAACAAGCTTTAAATACTTTGAAACACTGTAATCCGATTCATTCTCTGTCTCTAACTCACTCTGACTCCTATGCCTCCCACCCACAAGAAACCAACCCAACTAACTGCCAAAACCCCTGTGCTGAGCCTTAAACACAGTTAGGCTCCACCCCTGGGCTTTCTTATTAAAAGGTAAAGGTACCCCTGCCTGTACGGGCCAGTCTTGCCAGACTCTAGGGTTGTGCGCTCATCTCACTCTATAGGCCGGGAGCCAGCGCTGTCCGCAGACGCTTCCGGGTCACGTGGCCAGCGTGACAAGCTGCATCTGGCGAGCCAGCGCAGCACACGGAACGCCGTTTACCTTCCCGCTGGTAAGCGGTCCCTATTTATCTACTTGCACCCGAAGGTGCTTTCGAACTGCTAGATTGGCAGGTGCTAGACCGAACGACGGGAGCACACCCCGCCGCGGGGATTTGAAAGCCCTGGGCTTTCTTATTAGTCAGCCTATTAGCCCTTTCTCTCCCCCGCCCCATTACAACATCTCCATAATGAATGGGCAAACACCACACACCCCTTCTAGCTTTTCCTGCCTTTAAGCAACAGTCTGTTTCCTTGGTAAAGACTTGGAAGGTTTGCCCAGAGAGAAGTGAATAGGCAACTACTTACTTACTTAATTTAGCTCAGCCAGCAAGACTAATCAAAAATTGTAGGACCCTTCTTGTATATATGACACTGTACCAATACAGTGGTACCTTGGGTTAAGTACTTAAATCGTTCCAGAGGTCCGTACTTAACCTGAAACTCTTCTTAACCTGAAGCACCACTTTAGCTAATGGGGCCTCCCGCTGCCACCGCGCCACCGGAACACAATTTCTGTTCTCATCCTGAAGCAAAGTTCTTAACCCAAGGTACTATTTCTGGGTTAGCGGAGTCTGTAACCTGAAGCATATGTAACCTGAGGTACCACTGTACAAGGGCTTCCTACTCCTATTGATGTTGACTAAAGTCTTACTCAGTGTTTCTAGTCTTCCCACCATCCTTTTGCCATCTCCTTTCCCACATCTCCTGCAGTGAACAACATTAACAGTGGTAGAGCAGGTCTCTAATGCCTTTACTATCCTACATTGTTAATTGCCCTCCTTAGTAGACACATGCTTAACTTAAACACATTCTAAGAGTCTCCAGTATTAGGATCTTTAGACAATTTGCTCTGATATAGCTGGCTCTTTTACATACTTCTTCAGAAGTTTTAAAAAAATCATAGGTCTACCAGCTTCTCTTTATCTGTCACTGGCACAAAAACAGCAGCTCGTGAAATCTTTTATAAGGTCGGAAGTTACAAAACAGGCTCTTTATCAGAAATTTTATTTTTCATAACTCTTGCGGAAACCACAGCTGATGATACAAGTGGCTTAAGCCAAGCTACGCAAATTTCAGAAGCTTCCCTTGGTTACAGATTGGAGAAGCTGAGGCAATGTTCAAGAAGTATTTGTCAACTGAGAACTGTTAACATTTCAGTAAACACCTTAACATGCTCTACCAAAAACTATACAGTGGTACCACGGGTTACAGACGCTTTAGGTTACAGACACTTCAGGTTACAGACTCCACTAACCCAGAAATAGTACCTCAGGTTAAGAACTTTACTTCAGGATGAGAACAGAAACCGTGCTCTGGTGGCAGTGGGAGGCCCCATTAGCTAAAGTGGTGCTTCAGGTTAAGAACAGTTTCAGGTTAAGAACGGACTTCCAGAACGAATTAAGTTCTTAACCTGAGGTACCACTGTACTTTATGATAGAAGTGGAAAACCTGTTGCCCTTTGGATGTTGTTTGATTAGAACTCGCATCATACCAGACCACTGGAGTGCTAAGGATGGGGCACTAAGACTGAGAGAGAGTAGCTTGCTAAGGACACCTAGTGTGTTCATGGATGAGGTGATACTTGAACTAGGGAGTTTCCAGCACGCCATCTTAGCCACTCTGCTATGCTAGATATCTTGCTCATTTCACCCTCCTACTTTTTCATTTTCTTATGAGAAATTCTCTTTCTACGTAGCTTTATATGCTACAGATGATTTGGCTATAGGGAATCCATTCTGTGTGTAGATGACACTTTTTGAAAACAATCCAGTCATACAGTTCTGTTAGTCATCACTTAATATCATTATATCAATTTTTTAAAAAATATTTGTGGTTTATGGAACTTGTTCTGATTGTTCTCACAGATTAGAGATGATGCATACTTTTATTTTTAACTGTACTGCTATGCGGCAGATTAGCCTAACTTCTTAATGGTAGTGAACAAACATCTGGTAATATTTCCTTCAAGTGTGTTCAATCAAGAAGTACTGAAAGGAATATGAGCTACACAATACCATGTCCACAGTTATTACTTCTATCATTTCAGTGTATTGGCCCTTTATCCTTGTTGTGATGCATGGTTAAAATAAATAGTCTGGATAAGGTAAAAACATTTGTATCTTAGGTGTTAGAAAGGTTCTTGTTCAGTTATTTTTGAATATAATATTCACAGTGAATCCTACCGCTAGTGCTGGTGGGTCATCTTTGTCAACAGTATCCTCCTAGTTCCCAACCTGACAAACTATTTAATATTGGCTATGGTTTGTTTGAAACAAGGCAAATTCAAATCATGGGTTATAATTGTGGGATATGAAGTTGACTTTTTTCAACAAACTGATGTTAAGATTAGCCACATTCTTAGGGCTCAGATGACACACAAAACTGTGGTTAGTCAAAAATGGAAGTGAACACCTACAAACTCCTTGTGGCCACACCAGAGAAAAAGAGGTGGGACATGCAAGCACAGAGGGGGTGCTAAATTAATTCCCTGTGTTTTAAACCATGGCTAATTATGACTTCCAAACACAGTCTTTGACTGTAGTACCCTCTTTAATTATTAGGTTGCTATGTTGTTCCATGTCTTGTATGACCATATTTGGGTGACTAGTCATGTTATGTTCTCAAACAAGAGACCTTTTTTAAAAATATATATATATTTTTATTGAACAATTTTAACAAACAATTACCCATCAATCAGCATAACAATTTACATTCCCCCCTTTTTTTCTCCCTCCCTCTCCCCGCCCCCCAGGACTTCCCTCAGTTCCCCTCTCTGGTTTCTTTGCACATATTATTCTCTGCATGCTATAAAATTGTACATATCATTGCAATATCTCTCATGTAGTCAACTAATAAATTTGTGAATGTTTATTCAAAACCTGCCAAGGAGTCCAAATCATTTTGTTGTCTTTTTAAATAATTTGTAAAAAGTTCCCATTCTTCCTTGAACTCACAATTGTCCTTGTCACGCAGTTTATATGTCAACTTGGCCAATTCCGCATAACCCATCAGTTTTTCTTGCCACTGTTCTTGCGTTGGGATTTCTCAAACAAGAGATCTTGATGAACAGTACTTGGTCTGCGTTCAGAGAGTGCCTAGTTTATTGGTTGTTAAGGAGAACCAGCCTGATTAAAGCAGATGGTAGTATTTTTTAAACAACTGATCACTGTTTACACACAAGGGT